AACTGAACATAAGATTTATGAGGTCAAGGATTTATATTTTGTTCACACTGTGTCTAGAATAGTTTCTGGCATTAAGAGGTGCCCGATAAGTATTTAAAGGAAAGCTGGGGTACTGAAGGATACTGAGGAAAAAAAAAGACCAGATATCCTTTTCACTGGCATCTATTAAACCAAAGATAACTATGAAAAAGAGGACTCTTATCATATCTAGTCTCTTTTAAGATTATAAATGAAGAAACATTTCATTATTTGTTCATATTCTGGATGGAATTTCAAAGATATTATTTATATATATCTTGTATTATCTACAACAAAAACTGTTAATTTGAACTATTAACGTAAGAGAAGTTATTTAATATATGAGATAAAACTGAATATTCTTTATTTGTATTTATGTTACAAATTCCCTAATGGGGCACATTCACTGATGAAAGCCCAACATGCATCACCTATCTATTTATCAAAGTGAGTCAGCCAGGATACCTTTTCAGCAGCACACTGAGATGGAAAATATTATTCTACAAACATTAAAATACTGAATTAGAACTTTATTTAAAAATCTTATAATTTAACATTTTTACTTATTTATAATCCTAACTAATGTGATTACATGATCACATTTCTATAAGGAACTAGAATATCAAGAGAAAGACTAGTTTAGTCTAGTTTTTACACCTATGTACCTGTTATCTGCCTCCTTTAATACTCTACTTTTAAGGAATTAAACTCCTGATGTTACAACAGTATATAATCCAATGTAAAAAGATAGGAAGTTTAAATAGTCTAAACTAAAATTCCTTTTAAAAACCAAACCAAACCGAAGCATATTCCAACAAGTGTTAGTGATTAAGGGTATTTATTTTTCTGAAGAGCTTAATATTTTGGAAATCAAGCCACAGAAAAACCGATGAACAATATAGTATAATCTCATACTGACCCTTTGTGGTTTACTGAAGTACAGCATCATAAAAGTCCTGAGGTTCAGGATAATTGTTACTGGGAACACACATTTCGTCAGACACAAATCCACCAAAATACACATATGACATGAATAATACTCTAGCTTATTTAGATACCTTTATAAATAACTCAGATTCAGCAAGAAAGATATTATCAGTGCCACTTTCCAAACAAACTGAGATCCTAAAAGATTAGCTCATTTATGTCATTTAACATGTGTAGTATATAAAAGACCCTTTACATTTATGCACACACATGCACATACAAAGTTGTGCAAAGATTCACAAATAGCAATACCCTAACTGAGGCCATCAAAAATACTATGGCTAAAGACTTACAAAACGCACTATATATCAGAATATCAATTTTCCTCCATTCAATTAGGAGTAAAAAAATATATATACAATGTTGATTGTAAGTCCATGAAACTGGCACTTCTACCCCTTGTTGGAGTCATTATAAGCTAGTACAACCCTTTTGGAAAGCAATTTGGCACGAATCGCAAGACACAAAAAGTGTTTGTGCTTTTTCTTAGTAATTCCATTTCTGGGAAGTTATCCTATAAAAATAATTCAAAATATGGAAAAAGCTATAGATTATTTATAACATCCTAGATGCTTGGCATCTGAGATTTAACATTTGAGGTTTTAACACTGGTAGTTTTAACAGCTTGTGAGAGAACCACAGGTTGATCCACAGCATATGTCAAGTTGCTATGTGAATGAGGAAGTCACATGACTAACTACAGAGTGAGCCTGACTGCCAGCATTAGCTTTTCCCTGTGGTCTGACTGCTCTCTACATACATAGATATTTCTAAAACGGAGAAGGGAGCAAATGGATGTCTTTGTTTAAAAAAATTGTTTAAAAGTAAAAGGCCCTAAAATAGCAAGTCAATTACTTAGACTTGCTAAGTAATTGATGAATGTGAAGAGTCTAAGAAAATACTGATATTTGTGGTATGAGATTGCTAAAGGCCTTCAGTCACATTTATTCCCAATGCCGTAAGTCTGTGGCAATGAAAGATTGGAAATATGATTAAGTATTCAACAACAAAGAAATGATAAATTAAATCAATCCAACTAATCATTTAGTGGCTAAATTAGGGTAGTAGAATTACAGATGATAATTTTTCATTTTCAAAATATTTTCTGTGACAATATTATATCTGGAAATTAAAGTCAAGATAAAAATGTACTGCTAAATAGAAAAGGGAACAGTTCACACAATTCATTTCATGAGGTCAGCATTACCCTGACACCAAAAACCAAGGACAAGCAAGAAGCAAAAACTACAGACAAATTCTCATCATTTAACATAGGTGTAAAAATCTTTAACAAAATATTACTAAACTGAATCTAGGAATATATAAAAAAGGTAGTATACCACAACCAAGTGAGGTTTATCCCAGGAAAACTGTATTACTTACATCTTCCAGTTATAAATACAAGTATAGCTATCACTTGTTTGTATTTTCCCTATATAACCATATTAATATAGAAAAAGGTTTGACGTGGTCCACTTGACAAAGCTGAAGTATTTGCTTAAAACTTCTCAATCAAGTTTATAATAAATCTGCCTTCTCAGTCAATTGAATACTTCAATTTAAAGTGTTTATTTAAGGGGCACCTGGGTGGTTCAGTTGGTCGGGCGTCTGCCTTCGGCTGATGTCATGATCCCAGCATCCTGGGATCAAGCCCCATGTTGGGCTCTCTGCTCAGTGGGGAGCTTGCTTCTCCCTCTCCCTCTGCCTGCAGCTCCCCCGACTTGTGCTCTCTCTCTGTCAAATAAATAAAACCTTTTTTTTTTAAGATTTATTTATTTATTTGACACATAGAGTGAGATAGTGAGAGAGAGAGAGCACAAGCAGGGGAGCGGCAGGCTCCCCTCGAAGCAAGGAGCCCGATGTGGGGCTCGATCCCAGGACCCTGGGATCATGACCTGAGCCTAAGGCAGCTGCTTAACCGACTGAGCCACTGAGGCACCCCAAAGTCTTTTTTTTTTTTAAGTGTTCATTTAAAATATCTTCATTTGGGGGCACCTGGGTGGCTGAGTCAGTTAAGTGTCCAACTGTTGATTTTGGCTCAGGTCATAAGTCATGGGATTGAGCCCTGGTAGGGCTTCGTGCTCTGCGGGGAGTCTGCTTGAGATTTTTGCTTTCCCTTTTCCTCTCCCTCTCCACCCGCCAGCGCGCATGTGCATTCCCTCTCCTCTTCTCTCGAAAATAAGTAAATAAATCTTAAAAAAAAAAACCATTCATTGAGCTCATTCTAAGATTAAACTTCAATTACAACATACTTGACGACTTAAAAGACAGCATTCAACATTCCTTAGAATCATAAAGTAAAGGACCTCAAGTAAAATATTGCTTCACAAACATCCCTGAGTGATATGGCAATACTGTCATATTGTGAGACTTACTGAAAAGGGCACCCAACCCCTTAAGGCAGCCTCTTTGATTTTTTGCTGGACAATTCTAATAATGAAAAGGATTCCTCTTTATATTATGTTGAACTCTAATTTCCTTCAACTTTGATTTACTGGCAAAAATACTGACTTCTGGGGGCACCTGGGTCGCTCAGTCGTTAAGCGTCTGCCTTCGGCTTAGGTCATTGATCCCAGGGTCCTGGGATCGAGCCCCACATCGGGCTCCCTGCTCGGTAGGAAGCCTGCTTCTCCCTCTCCCACTTCCCCTGCTTGTGTTCCCTCTCACTCTGTCTCTCTCTGTCAAATAAATAAATAAAATCTTTAAAAAAAAAAAATACTGACTTCTGATGTAGTAAGAGTAATGAAGCCTTCATTAATATATTCATTCTGCAAATACTTGAAAATAACTAGTAAGTCACTTTTTAATCTTTTTCTCTCCAGGCTAAACTGAGTTCTCCCAACCATTGTTCAGATGATAATACTACTAAATTTCATTTTTTCTTACCACCACTTCCTGCCAAAGACAAACATTTAAAACAAATGGGCTACAACATAGTACCTACAGGGGACGAGTCCACCCTAGGAAATTTATTACAATAGTCAATCAACTCTCAAATATCAAAATATGCCCCCAAATAAAAATCTATGCAAACATTTTATTCCCAGTGAAAAAACATACTAGTTGTAGGAAACAGATATAATTGAATATAAAACACTTAATTTTTAAGCAATGATATTCTTACAAGTTATCAGTATTCTTTTACCTAGAGATGAATTACAGCAAAAGAACTAAATCCTGGTCAAAAGTTTTACCTAGCTTTCAAAGATATACATGTATGTTGTACACTGGAAATGACTATAACACCATATGTTATCTATACTGAAATTTAAAAAAAAGATATACATGTATGTAAACAGCGGTCAAAACCAATATTGGTTCCAAGGGTACAAGCTGCTTTGCTTAGGTTGCTGAAAAAATGGGTGTGCTAGAAAACAATCCTCATTTATACTAGCTTTTATCTTTGCTTAGCTTTGACATGGTTTTAATTAGTATTGTACTACTCTAAAAAAAATACATGGAGCCCTTCAAGGCAGTTATAAAAATCACTTACAATACTGTATTTCTTTGACTTCACAGCAAAACTGAGATGGAAAACTATGTATTACATATTTTGTACTAGTGAAACCTTGGTAATTAAGGTCTAGTAGGAGTTATGGGAGAAAAGTTCACTTACGAATTACACATTTTAAAAAGAAGTTTAATGACTTTAGAATGCATGGTGCCTGGATTCAAGTTTGTATATCCTGAGAATACTGGAATCAAACCTAGGAAAGGTCTACCTTCATAAACGGACAGAAATAATTTGTAGTTAGTAAATCAAAGAAACCAATCAAGAATAAACTGGCAAGAGTCTAAAACACTAGTCCTTAAGTGAATTAAATGATGTATGCAAATACCATGTTAACTTCCTCACCAAAACATTCCTGGCAAATAAGATGTTTTTAGGCTTACATTTCTAAGAGTTAATGTTCTTTTCCTTTGTATCTAAAATGCACTCAACATCTTGAAATGAATAAAAACAAGTGAACATTTAATGAGTATCCAATTCTTACCTGGAACCCACTTAATTTCCATTTCCATATCATTTTCTTTGCCTTTCTTTTCTTTTTCTTGAATAACCTGCAAGAGCTGCCTGTATTTAGCAATTTGTTCTTCATCATCCTTCTGATTTTTCTTTGTTTTCCCATCTTCCACACTGACTTTATCATCACCTAATTAAAAAAATCAATTTCATTTAATACACAAAAATAACTGACTTTTAAATCTAGTATTTAAATCTCACAGTCAGTATAGCACCTTCTAAAAGATGTTGTCAGATAAAATACAACAATAGAATATCAAAATCGGACAAACTTCTTAATATTAAATGAATTAGATGAAAGCATTTGGTCTTGTTCATAATAAAAATCACTTGCAATATAAGTTAGCACTGTTTAAGCAGTATATTGGGAATCTCCCTTTTTATTAAAATTCATGTTTCAAAATAATTTTATAGACATGCAACACCTTGGACTTTCTCTTCCCTATAAACAAGACAGGAGAGACAGCATTTTATCCCTCTTTATGTCTTCCGCCATCTGCACACTGGCTTTAAAATATTATGGTCACTAAAAGGAGGCTGAATATTGTTGGGATGCGTTTGGTACATGGATTTAACTGTTTATGCTGAAGAGACAGATAAAGGAAGCTCCTCGAAATCCAAAACAAATAATAATGAGTCTTTTCCATTTGATGGTGAATAAAAGTACGCTTACTCTCAGGACCTCATTAGTACACTGAGAATGAAAGTTAGTAAATTAGAAATTAATTCAACTAATATCCCTGTGTGGAAAAATACCCACATTTCCATTTCCTAATTTTATAAAAATAATTAGAATACAAAGGAACAATATAAAATTCATGGGCAACAAACACCAAAGAAAACTAATATGTGAAAAGTTTGTTTGCTCTGTACTTCCACTGTAATTTTCCAAGTCAAAAACATAAATTGAGAACCTGGGTTTTAATGCAAAACATACAGACTTACTGAATTGACTAAACATCCCTGGTAAAGGAAAATTTAGAAGCAGCATAATGAAGACCCTCTCTTCTATAAGTTATGGCTAACTGGTCACTAAAAATGTCTAACATCATTAAGCATTTAGCTGTCAAACATTAATGTTAAGATTGTCCTCACATCTTAAAAAAGGTGACATGGAAAAAGCACTGGTTAAGTAAATGTTTTCATAGTTTTTTTCTCTAAATGAATAAAAAAATAGTCCAGGACATTCTTTCCATCCTATCACACTTTTATATTTTCACTCAAACAGCTGAAATTCATTTTTTTCCTGTTTGTGCTTTGTGCCACAAAAATAATGTTGGGTGGAATTCTGTCATGTATCCCATAATTCAATGGATAAAACATCAGGAACACATTAACAGAATGGCAATGTATTTCTTTCTATTAAAAGCTTACTTCTGAAAACATAATTAGAAGCAAGCTCCTTCCAGGTTGAAATTTTAGTGGTAAGTCTCTGATGGCCTACTTTAAATTGATTTTTTCCAGTACTAAAATTTTACTTTCTGAAGCTCTAAAATGTGGGATAACTCATGTATGTCTGTTTTTTTTCCAATTCAAGGACAATACTTTGTGAAAGCCTTAATACTATATAAGGAATGAAAAAAAATAATCCAACAGTAAGAAGCCCTGCAATGATCTTTTATAAACACCAGGAACTTCTAGTAACTCTAAGGTGTTCAAATATACTAATGTATCTATCACAGGCACTAAATTACAGATTAAAGTAAGCTGGCAATCAACTAAAATACTGAAGAAAAATGCATGCTTTTAAAACTTAATGAGTAGTATATTTCAAACAAAAAGCCATTAATTCTTAAAGTTTTAGACATAAAAATATATGATATGATATGGTGTAGTATGTTAAGCACTTTATAAACATTAACTCAATCTTTCCAACCATGAGCCAGGTACTATTATTATCCTCATTTCATAGCTATGGAAAGAAAAGCACAAGGGCTTAGGAAACCTAACCTATATAACTCTACTATGTGGTAAACTCAGGATTTGAAACCAGAGGGCCCAGATCTTAAGAATATATTGACAAATTAATACATTTTTGCCCAAATGCCAATAATGTCATTTTAAAAATCTAGGTCAGTTCTTCCAAACCAATCAAAGAAAACTGTTAACATACAGCCAATCTTCACAAGTATACATGTTCTCTTCTTTCCTTTAACCTAGAGCCGCTAATGAAGAAAAACTATGCTGAATCTTCAGAAAGTGCTAAATGACCATATAGGCATCTGAATAAAAAAATATATAGATAAATCAGTATATATATTTCAAACGCTATTTGAAAAAGGGCTTAGCTCTTCTGGGCACACTAGAAATAAAATGGTCACTGAATTGTTTGGAAAGCCAAAATGTTAACAAGCAACAGCCACTGAGACCTTAAAAGAATGAGAAGGCTTTTGTGCCCAATATAACTACCCTTGCAAATCATACTTTTTCAAAGACTATTAAATACCTAAGAAATTATGTGGTTTTATTAATATGAGATGTCTGAACAAAGAAACTAGAATGATTAAGCATGATTCTCCATTCCATGTGTAGAGCATAGTTCAAGAGTAGCACTTTATGAAAAACTCAGAAAATGATGCAGTGTCTTCAGTAGTCTAAAGAAACAATGACAGGCCAATCACAGGACGTAAGAAAGTTAAGAATTAATGGTCCTATGTTAATACTAAAGAAGAATTTTATTTAATTTGACGTTCAGGTCATAAAAATAACACACATGCAAAAGGAAAACCAGAAGACAGCTATGAAAAATATTAAGCTATAAATAAAACAATATTCACCACTGCTAATTTAAAATACTTATACCTATGCTTAACATTTATGGTATTTGTTGTCAGCACTAAACCTCTTACACAATTTTGTGTGACTGGGAATTGTATTAGATAAGGCAAATAAAGATGTGAATGTATCAGGAAGATAGCATCAAATAAAAACTGATAAGAAATTACAATCAAGCAACCATTTCCAAACAGAGCCAGACTACATAGAGAGGAAAAAGATGTTTTTTTGGTTTTATTTTTAAAAAATGAGTTATTTTAGGCAAACAGCATATACAACTAGAAAATACACCATTGATCATTTCAATCATCAAAACAAATTTTTAAATAAAACATAGGTAATTTGAAAACTTCTGTTTCCATTCATGGCAAGCTAGATATTTCAAACCAAACTTTTCACCAAGGATATAAAATTAAATGAAATATTTTTAAAATCTTCAATGGGTTTAAAAAAAGAAAAAAAAAACTTCAAAGAACTGACAAATTAGTAAAAAATTACCAAGTCAAAATCAAGGGAGCACCAGGGAGTTGATCCTGTATTCAAGATTTATTTTTCCCTGAGAACATTTACTGATCCACAGAAGAAACACAGCTATGAAACTAAACTAGTTTTGGCAGCCTGGCAGGGCCAAGAGGACAAATGTTACCAGAGAAGAGGAGATTTCAACTACTATGTCCACTTTAAGCAGGGACCCAGAAGGATATACAATTAGGGTAGAAGCCAACCAGAAGTAAACCAGCCCTCATGAAGACTTGTATCACCCACAAAGTCCAAAGAACCTGAAGCCTTAAAACTTGGAGTAATGTAGTCCTAGAATGGCCATAGTAAATGAAAGTTCTCTGATTAGATACTCATCTCAACTATCAAATTAGAACATAAAGTTAACCATGTATACAAATAAAGAAGAAATATCTTGTAAAGTAACAAAAATGAACCCAAGAAGACTTAAAATACTGAAATTATCAGACAGACTATAAAAACATGCTTATACCATTTATAGAGATAAAGATTAAAAATACCTGCAATGAATAGAAAGTTATAAAAAGTGATATTGCTGATTTGAAAAATAGCCAAATAGGACTTTTAGAAGTGAAAAATACAATAACCAAAATTAGGAACTCAATGGATAGGTGTAGCAACAGATTCAACACTGCTAAAAAGCAAATTAGTGAACTGGAAGATAGGTCAGAAGAAAACATCCAGAACACAGCAGAGAGAGACAACAGATTAAGAAATATATGAGAGTAGCAAGATGGAAGTTATAGTGGAAAGAAATAATATATATACTTAATTGGAATACCAGAAGGACAGGTTAGAAAAAATATCTGATTTAGATAATGGCTGAGAAAATTCCAAAACTGATGAAAGCTACCATGATACAAATGCAAGAAACCCAACAAACCCCAAGCACACAAGTAAGAAGAAATCTGTTCACAGTAAAACTGCAGAAAGACCAAAAAAAAAAAAAAAAAGACAAGAAAACTTCAAAAGCAATCAAAGAAAAAAGAAATCTAGACAATCTTCAAAAGAATGAAAAAAAGACAACTGATTTCTCAAAAACAACAATGAAACTACAAGTCTATAGGATATTATCATTAGTGTGGAGATGGAGAGGACTTCCCACCTACAATTTTTTTTTTTTTTGCCATGAAAGTATCTTTCACAAATGAAAGCAAAATAAGGACATTTTTATACTAAAACTCAAGAGAGTTTGACACCAACAAATACTACCAGAACTTATCAAGGATATACATAAGGTAGAAGGAAAATGACCCTAGACAGAAGTATGAGATTTAAGAAAGAATAAGGAGCAAAGAAAGTGGAGAAAATGTAGCTAAATGGAAGTAAGAGCAGTTTAAATATTAATAGCCCATAGGACTTACAAAAAATAGAATTACAATACACAGGATAGCATGAGAGGTGTTTTAAGATTCCCTGTATTTTCTAGGAGGTTAAAGATATTACCATTAGACCTTAGTAAATTAAGAATGCAAGTCATAATTTCTAGGATAATCACTAAATGAACAGAAACAGTCTACTTTTTAAACTATTTGAAGAGAAAATAGATATAAAAAATATTCAATCAATTGGGGAGCCCTGGGTGGCACAGTTGGTTAAGCATCCAGCTCTTGGTTTCAGCTCAGGTCATGTTCTCAGGGTTGTGATCTTAGGATCCTGAGGTGAAGCCCCACATTGGGCTCCACAGAGTCTGCTTGGGATTCTCTCTCCCTCTTCCTCTGCCCCTCCCGCTTGCACTCTCTATCTAAATAAATAAATAAATCTTTAAAAAAAAATGTCAATACAAAAGAAGCTTAGTTTTTTTTTAAAAAGGGGGGGTAATAGAGCATTTTACTAGTTTGTTAACAGACTGCAAAACTATATGAATCAGGACAAATCTAAAAGGCTAGGCTTTTTTGTTTGGTAATTGTTTTTATTTATTTATTTATTTATTTTTAAAGATTTTATTTATTTATTTGCTAGAGAGAGACACAGCGAGAGAGGGAACACAAGCAGGGGGAGTGGAAGAGGGAGAAGCAGGCTTCCCGCTGAGCAGGGAGCCCGATGTGGGGCTTGATCCCAGGACCCTGGGATCATGACCTGAGCCGAAGGCAGACGCTTAACGACTGAGCCACCCAGGTACCCCTGGTAACAGTTTTTAAACAAAATGTTCGTTGTTAAAGAAATTTAGGCTAAAAAAACCCTCTAAATAAAAAATTTCAAATACCGTTTGTAGGTGTATATAATACTATACATGGGAGTATGTTTTGCAGACAGCTTAAGAATTAGCTTGGCACTCCCTTTTAAGCTACCGCCAAAGACATATTTCCATTAACAAGTCTAGATTAGGCATCTAAATGCTTACAAATATAAAACAGCAAAAGATTACAAGTACCCTGTAGCTCCTCTTCTATTTCTTCTTCATCCTCACTAGAGGAAGCTAAGTAGGCTTGAAAATCCATGTCCAAAAGCTCTTCCTTTTTAAACTTCCTGTTGAGTGTTGTAATTCTTTCATGATCAGTCTCATCCCAAGTGATCTCCACCTTTCACCAATAAAACAAATAAAAATAGAAGTGTCAGTAACTCTCACTCACAAAATATTTATCACTAAGCTAAAAAAGACGTAAGCTAAACCAAATAATAAATGACATGCATAATAAAAAGTATTTTACTTATGAAAGAGGAACCATTTCTATTAACCTGTACCTTTTTCCTCCTAACTCTGCTATATGAAAACTACTCTAATATTAGGAGTAAAAACTCACCAGTGTTTCTATTAATTGTAGGGAAAAGAAAACGCACTAGCGAAAAAGTTAACATTACGAATTGACAAAAACATGTTTTTCACCTGGAGTTCTAAGTACTTCAGGAGGTCTGCAAACTACACGAAATCTATTAATAAAGCTTTCAACAAAATTTCAGTAGGCTCCCTTTTAAAAAAGATTAAGAGCCACTGATAAAAAAGGCATCTACTGGTTGGAAGTACAGTAAACCCCCATGATACAGAAATTAATCTATAACATGACTGGTTTGGTTCCTGCCCTCCATGCAGCCCCCATTCTCAGATAGGGTCTTGTCAGAAGTTTTAGCTTCATCACAGGGTGGGTCTCCTATCCTAGTTTTTTTTTTCCCTCAGGCTAATCTCCTCAGATCAGGACAACAAAATGGGCACCAATTAACCAAGGGATCTTTAAGACAGCTGTCACTACCTTACAAGTTCTAATTACAAATTATCCTTATTCTGATAATTTGCCTGAGTGATAACCATAAAACTGCTGCTGGAACTGGGACATATGTGGATAGTATGGCTGGACCCTAAGAATTCCAGAATGGCTGTCTGGACAGACTTGCCTTGGTCATTTTTCAGGCTTCAAAATAACCTGACCCTTTATTTTATGTTATTGAATCTTTTAAACTTCACTTATTGCATAATGGTGAGGTTTTACCATACTCAGTAACTAATCAATGCCACACAGTGCCCAATACAGCATGCAAGTGACAGATACAGTAGATCTCTCTACCACCAGCCTATCCTCAGAAGAGCATAGAAAAGGCAATGGGAAACCTGTGTGGTTCCTGCAGTCTATCTGTGGGCAGAAGGTTTTTTTTGTGGGGAGGAGGAGAAGAGAGAAGGTAGGCAGCTAAGTAACAAATTAATTCAAGAGAAATCTTTTGGCTGTTCATTACTAAGCAATAATGTGACATCTAATAGTCCTGAATTATTCTACTTCAATTTTTACAATTTTGGATCATATCTACAGAAAAAAATGTGTTCTTATTTAAAATTTCCACTGGTTTTAACTATGATTTGAGGTAATCTGTTACCTCCTTCCCCCACTCCCTAGGATATTAATAACTGACATATTACTTATTAAAGAATCTAACTGAATAAGAATATATGGGAAAGACAGAGGAGAAAAAAAAACATTTGCAGGTAATTGACTCAAGCTTAAAGGCATAACAAAAATCTGAAAACAGGTTCAAACAGATGTGGTAGATAAAAATGCAAATACATTTATGTCTCACTTCTATTTGTATTTGTGCATTAAAATTTTGAATACTTTCCATTTCTAAAGATGCTATACGTAAATAATACACAAGTTCTTTCCTGAAAGCAAGAATCCAGCCATATATTTTTAAAAGTTAAGAAATACCGTTGATGTTCCCATTGCAGCAGATGTAAAATATTTTGGTTTATATGCTGTTAAATCCACTTCTGAGGCTACGTCCTTGGGCTCATCATCAAAAGTAATATCATCTGGTATAAACCTAAGAAGCAAAGAAAAAATAAATTTATTTAAACATATGCTGTAGTGATAAACAACCAGAGTTTAGGTTCTCTTCTAATTAGTTATAGTTTATACATACATACCATATAAAAGTTTCTATAGTAGATGGGGCAAACAATGTTAGAAATAACGTTGGCACAAAATTTCTGAAATTCATAAACTATAAATCTGTAATTCCACTAAATTTGAGTGAACTCTGTAGGTAGAAACCCTGTGTTGGGAGTCAGTTAGTATGAGTCAAGTGCAAACACACACGGGTCCCTCATGTTTCAAAAAGACCTAGACACCTGATAGCACAGTGTTGACTTGCTATATGATATTCTGAAGATCAAACAGAATTAGTAGTGGGTAAGTGTTCTGAATGTAAAGTATCAGATATATAAGGTGTCATTGAAAATAAGGAAAAAGCTTAAGGTTGATTCTTTAAGACTAAAAAAATCTTCATAATCTTATCTTACAATATTTTTTCACAAATAATTAGCTGTTAGATGTAAATTAGCCACTGTAAATTGTATGACAATGCTTAGGCATTAGGCTAAAAATAGGGGGGAAAAGCAGAATCAAATAACCCATGGTTAATATATTTAGGCTTTGTAATTTATATAGGAGATTTTGGTTCCACACACACAAAAAGCATATGATAATTAAGGCTCATTAGGTTTACACAATATCCTTCTCCAGCTATACTTTTGCAAAGACTTACTAGAAGAAAAATATCTGAAATCAATATTTTTAAATGGTATTAATATGCATGCATTTGTATTTTGGGGCAGATGAAAATAAGTTTCTAGATAATTGGATGGCAGCAGAAAACTCAATTTTCTTTTCTGATGTTATGTTTAACAAACTAAAACAGGAAGCCCGATGTGGGACTCGATCCCGGGACTTCAGGATCATGACCTGAGCCGAAGGCAGTCGCTTAACCAACTGAGCCACCCAGGCACCCTATTTGTATTTTTCTACCAGTCCAAATGCCTTTGAAGTATGAAAGCCAGGGACTACAAAATGATGCAAATTTTTTTTTGGAAATATTTCATTTTGAGAACAAAGCCTCTCACAAACTTGGATACAAAGAACTGATTTCTATTCAAAGTGTCATAGAAGAATGGTTTACTGGGTTCAAAAGCATTAAGCTAATGATAAAATGGTATAGTAGTTCAGCTTCCCATTTCCTCAGAACTGACATTTACCACCATTTAAGGTTTTTCAGCTTTGGGCCAGTGAAGCCTGTGCATGGGGTGAAAATAATGCCCAAGTCTGAAGACAATGCCAGCAACACCATCCATTCACTGAGCATTTAGAACAGCACCATTCAATGGAACTTTGTGATGATAGCAATGTTCTGTATCTGCTATGTCCATATGGCCAGTAAGTACCTGAAATGTGTCCAGTGATGAAGCAAATGAATAAATTTAAAATTTTTAAAAATTTTAACTAGTCAGATATGACTAGTAGCTACTGTTATTAGCACAAGTCTAGAGGTACCAATTTATTAGCAAATTCCTTTGCCCCCATCTCAATGCTTTTTTTTTTTAAAAATTAATTCACCTGGTTCCTAGTTCTAAAAGAGAGTTGCAAAGGAATATCACTGCATATAACCCATTATCCTAAAAACATAGCCAATATATTTGAAATTCAGGATATAAATGTGGGGTGACTCATACACAATACTTAAGCATTTTCTCATTATAGTTTTCTTTGTTAAGAGTGATGTTCCATAGGACAGAGTTCACCTAAAGCAAAAAATCCTTTTTTACAATATGAAACAACAGAAAATACTACCAGCCTAATATCTTACTTCCTACAATCATATTGTGCTACAAGATAAAATTGGTAAAATACACACTGGATTACCTTAAATCTATGAATGAACAACTACTTTCGAATTCCAGGCCATCACAATCCTCATAAATTTTACCAGCTGTTTCAGGAGAATCACACTCTACTACTGCATAATAGTACTTGAGTCGTTTGAATTGATAATCTCTCAGTTTTTCTCTAGAAGTCCTAAAAGGTAGAAAACTCATTAAGCTTACCTATTCAGGAACGCAAACACCTATCTTCCTTTAAAAAACAAATGTTAATTATTTCAAGAAAAATATATTACAAACTGGACTTCATCCCAATCCATCTTTCCTTCATGATTTATGGGCATTAAATATTTAAGCTCAATTTATTATTTTGACAAAGCACAGACTAAGTATTTTAATTAAAATTTAGTATCTAGAAAAGGAGAGTGTAAGAATTACATATGCTTACTCATAATTTTAACTCTTGAATAGTCTTTTTGTTTTGCTATCACATATAGTCTCTCAAGTAAAACTCCTGAACAAGATCACTATATTATAAAATAAATATGCTAGGAAAGCATTAGCTCTAATTACAAAGAAATTCCTGATTTTGTAAAATGTTTATTCCAGATTTATGTGTTGTCAAGTCTAAATGGTTTTAAGTTTAATTTCATTTAATTAAACATACTCTTTGAGAGTCTTCATTGGCTGTTCTGCCACCAATCACCATTTTTATTACGTGCACATATAGCTCCACCTAGTGGTTTAAAAACTACCTTAAAATTTTTCTATACATTATGATAATAAAAAGTTATCATTATTTTTTGATTTAATCCTCAAATTAAAAAATACATATATCATGAAGGCAAACAGGGTTTCAATGCCACATATATGGAAAGCAACATCTCATGAAAAAACCAAAACTTACTAATTAAGAGCAAGGAGGCTGAGAACCCTAAATCAGTCTAATCATGGAATGTTTTTCAAAACTGCAATAATTGTTTTTGTGAATACAGAAATATGAATATACATACAAAAGGTTGTTGGAATAGTATGCCACTTCTGACAGACTTTAATCTGCTCTGCAACTTGTTTTAACCATGAAAGGCAGGCACAACATAAACTTTAGTCCCATTAAAGTGACCAGAATTCTGAGTTAGTGACATGAATTCATGAGATTTAGTTTTATTTTCTGTAACAGGTTAATACCAGTCCTTTTCAGGGGCATCTTCAGGAATACTTAATAACTCTACTGGTCCTTGAACTTGCTCTTCCTTCATTCTCTCCTTTCCAAACTCCGAAGGATATATCTAAACACAAAAAAATAAGATCAATGTAATTTATACTTTACTTTTCTTAAAACATCCAGACCCGTCAAGGTCAGGAACTCTAAGAGTTACAACTGAACTCGATGAAAGCAGGAAGGATGACTCACTTCCAAACCTACTACAGGAAGCTAAAACATCCTGAGGAATCTCCTTAAAAATAGTCATTTTGGCTGGAGAGTAACAGATGTGGAGCTTAAGAACAAAAACAGAATTATCTCCTGCATACATCAACTGGGACAAGATGGTCCTGGGATCTAAGGGAAAAATTAAGAAAAGCAAAACGAGTCTTAAGTGCTCAAGGAACTTAAAAGTAAACACATACAAACAAAATGACTAATTAGTTGACACAAAATATACAAAAATGATTAAAGAAGTATATAAAACATAAAGAAAAACAATTTTGTTTTATCTCTTAAGTCATATCATTTAGCCAATGCTTTAAGAAATACTTTAAATAGAAAAGAACTGATAATAATCTTATCACACGGTTTAGATGGTCTTGGTAAAAGAAAAAGGATTCCCTCATTGGGATTTGGTAATTTTGTATCTCGGCTACTTATGAGAAAAAATGTAACTATATTAATTTGTATTGTTTTGATACTACTGGGCTTAATATATTTTTGCTAACTAATACATGCTTTTCTGAGTTCTTTGCAATATGTAATTTATCAAATAGGGATTCGAGTTTTTCTTACTAATTTGAGTGGCAATAATAGGTTTTGATGTAAAAGTTTTAAATACATATGTAGTCACATCTGTTGATTCTGTTTTTCTCTTTTCTAACTCTAGAAATTCCTACTATCCATTTCCTGAAATATAAGATTTAACAAAAACACAATACTATTTTATTCTGTTTCTGTGGTTTGAGTTTTAATTTTTTTCCCTTACTTTATCTGGAGTTTATTTTGGACTATGATGAGGTGAAGATCTGAACTAAGCTCTTTATACAAAGACTCACTCATTTGTCCCAATACCAGGTATTCAAGCTTACTTTGGTCTATATTATAATATAAACTATTCTATTTATCTATTTCATTCCATCAATTTGTCTTTCCCTTTTTACCCAAACTTGTTAACTCTTGTAGCAATATAAAATGTTCACATGTTATATCTGACAGGGCGAATCCTTTTACACTGGTATGTTTTCCTAAAAATTTATTAGTCATTTTCACTTATTTATTCTTTTAGATGATTACTGGTAGCCTTTTTCTTTGATAGGAACTGAGATTATGCTTGAAACTACACTAAAACTATAGAATTGACATCTTTAAATACTTAAACAGAACAATAATTTAGAGCTGTTTCAGGTACCGCACTAAATACTTAGTGTAAGCTTCTTATCATTTCATCCTTACAACTACCCTAGGAAATGCTACTGTTATATCCACTTGTCAGGTGAGAGAACACATCTGAGAAATTAATAAAATGCCCAAGATCACACGGCATGCATCAGAATCAAGATTTGAATGCAGGTCTGTCATACTGCAAAGCCTAAATTCTTAATCGCTATGCTTGCTCTCCAAAAATATGGTATCTCAACATTTATTTAAGTTTTTCAAATTTATCCAGTGTTATAGTTTACTTCATATATATCATATATGTTTAAGGTAATTCTCAAGGATTTTACATTTCTGCTGCTAGTAAAAATAGATTTTTTTCTTAACTGGTTAAGAATTGAAGAATGCAATTAAAAAATATTTATTTTATTCTGTCCCTTTATTGAGCTTTATAATAGCTTTTCAATTGATTTCTTTAGGTTTTTAAAATACATAAATCACATAACCCATCAATAGCAATAATTTTACCTCTTCCTTTTATATTTATTCTACCTGTTTTGTACCTAACTGTACCAACAACTGCCAGATTATTTTCCTTAAAACTATGACTTAAAAAAAAGATTAAGCTTAAAATGTTTAGAAATATTTCAAAATGAAATCAATTCTCACCTTTACGGAAAATATAACACCCCCTTTAGGTTTAAATGAATTGAACAGAGCTAGCAAATCTTTTGCCTTTAATCTGTCCCAGTCCATGTTGCAAACTGCTAATCGATGTGTAACCTAAAAAATGAGAAAAATTAAATATTACATAATCTCTATCATTCCCATCACTTGCAAAATATACAAAAAAATGTGTCTTCTTTCCTCTCTCAAATTCTGAAATCACCAATACAGTATTTATCTAAGTAGTTTCAATATGTAAAAGAAAACTTCGGTTGAGTCACACGGTGGTAAAACCGTCAACAGATAAGCACTTTCTCTTACTAGGTTCTTAGTTCTTGAATCAGAACTTGATAATCAGCTGACTTTTTTTTTTTTTTTAAAGATTTTATTTATTTTTTAGAGAGCGAGCGAGAGAGAAACAGCATGAGAGGGGAGAGGGTCAGAGGGAGAAGCAGGCTCCCCGCTGAGCTGGGAGCCCGACGTGGGACTCGATCCCAGGACCCTGGGATCATGACCTGAGCCGAAGGCAGACGCTTAACCATCTGAGCCACCCAGGCGCCCAATCAGCAGACTTTTTTTTTTAATTTTTTTTAAAGATTTTTATTTATTTATTAGAGAGAAAGAGTACAAGTAGGCAGAGAGGCAGGCAGAGGGAGAGGGAGAAGCAGGCTCCCTACTGAGCAGGGAGCCCGATGAGGGACTCAATCCCAAGACCCTGGGATCATGACCTGAGCCGAAGGCAGCCGCTTAACCGACTGAGCCACCCAGGCGCCCCATCAGCTGACTTTTTTTTTTTTTTTAATTTATTTATTTGAGACAGAGAGAATGAGAGAGCCAGAGAGCACATGAGAGGGGGGAGGGTCAGAGGGAGAAGCAGGCTCCCCGCCGAGCAGGGAGCCCGATGCGGGACTCGATCCCAGGACTCCAGGATCATGACCTGAGCCGAAGGCAGTCGCTTAAACAACTGAGCCACCCAGGCGCCCCATCAGCTGACTTTTTAACAACCAAGTTTGTTAAGCTATTTTGCTACCCATGAATGAGTATGGAGGTTGAGTATGTTACTCTACCAGCTACAATAAGTATTTTCTAAAACTTTCATGTGACCTGGGGTACCTAGGTGGCTCAGTCGTTAAGCATCTGCCTTCGGCTCAGGTCTAGGATCGAGCCCCGCATCAGGGTTCCCACTCAGTGGGAAGCCTTCTTCCCCCTCTCCTATTCCCCCTGCTTGTGTTCCCTCTCTCACTGTCTCCCTGTCAAATAAATAAATAAAATCTTTAAAAAAAAAAAAATTTCATGTGACCTTTCTTTAACTAATCTCTATTTGCTTGGACAGACATCTAATTTATATAGCTACTTTAACTATCAAGAAGTTATTTTACATCAAAAAGTTTTAATCAGACTAATCATTATGAATATTATTTACCAATAAAGGTTTTCCCACTCAATTTAATGACATCAATTCTACCATGCATAAAAGCTACTTTTACTGTGCTTTTCACAAATAATTTATTCAAAAGTTCACCTCATCAGCCCGAGGAGCATCTTTATCTAATTCTCTCCAAGCGTGCTCAAAACCAGAGTCCTCTGGCAGTAAATCTGCCATATCTTCTTCATCTTCAGAACTAGTTTCTACATTTCCTTTACCCCTTGCAAGATCAGGGCCACTGTCACTTTCATCATCGTCACTATCCTCATCTTCATCCTCCTCATCACTTTCACTTCCATCAACATCATCAACATCATCTTCATCAGCTGAAGTTCTACCAGTGCCTGTAATTCCATCTTCAGATTCCTCATCACCTATTTCACTAGCACTTTCTGAATCTTCCTCCAGAGCATCTTTGTCAAACATCCTACCACCTGTGGAGTTTCCATAACCATCACTGTCTTTTGCCATTATTAGTGGAATCACTGCAAAAAAGATTAAAGCAGGGAGAAATTTAAAAAATGTAAACACAATTAAATTGAATCCAACTTATTTTGACCTCAAATCCAGTAAAAATATAATTTCTATGAAATAGACTAAAAAAACATAAATTCAGCAAAGTTGATGCTGAAGTTACTTAACAGAAATTTTGACATATACCCAGATCATACAAGTAGATTCACATATTCATTCAGTAATTACAGAGTGCCTGCTGTGTGCTAGGTGCTCAATAAAAATTATTGGCAAGAGAAGCTATCAGTGCCCTCAATGAACTTAATAGTCGAGAGGATAGATGGACAGATATCAAATAAAACCAATCAAATCAATACACATAAAAAGCATACAATAAAAGTCTCTAAATAAGTGTAACTGAGTTGCTACCTGAAGGATGAAGAGGAGGTATTCAAGATTAGACTAACAGATGAGGAAAATGTTCCAAACACTGAAAAAAAACAAATGCAAATATCCACGAATAGGAAAAAATTGGCAAGAATGTCTGGATTGCAGATGGCCAGGAGTCAAGTAAGAAATTAAACTGAAAGTGAGGTAGGGGCCGTGCTTCCCAAAAACCATGTAGAAGGTTTGGACTTTGTCATAAAAGCAGTGAGAAGCCACCATTATATTTTCAGAAAGAGGGACATCATCAGATTTGCACAGTGAGATCACCTTGACTCGCTATAGAAAATTGACTGGAGGGAGTCAAAAGCAGATGTGACTACAGAATTAGAAATATAGTATAAGACTCCTAGCAAGAAATGAAAGTAGCACTAAACTGTTAGAAAGAGACAGAAAGACGTGAATGGATTCACTTCAGAGTTGCAGAGTCAGGAGGTAAAATCAACAGTAATTAGTGCCAGGGCTTGTGGTATGGGACAAAGAAGTTTTAGAAATGTCAAAGATGAGTCCTAGCTTCCCAGCGTGCAGAGCTAGCTAGCTAACTGGATAGATAAACATGTGATGTTGGAAAAGAACCAGTTTGCTGTTTGGTAGAGGTAGATCATGAGTTCAGTTTTCAATATGCTGAATTTGAAGTGCCTGTGAATCGCGTAAGAGGAGATATCAAGAAGGCTGCTGGCCGTCTGAGTCTACAGCTCTGAAAAGTTGCATGCTGGAGATAAAATTTTTCACTCATTCATGTATAGTAATAACAGAAGTTGTGATGTGGATTAGATCACCTATGCAGAGCAAAATAGTAAGTTTTCTGCTAAATCTTGAACTTTGTAACTAACTATGGTTAGCGATATACGAAAAGTAAAAGACTGTTTTTACTTAAGTTGGATTTTTTAGCCCACATAACTCTGAAAAAACTCATTTTCTATTTCTAAAGCAATCATATGATTTTATTGTGGGTATATGTGTATGTTGATATACAGTATCTTACACATTTTATTCACCTTTAAGTTGGAGATTACGTTTCTGCTTACAGGCTCTGCTTGTAGAATTAAAAAATAAATTTAAAAGCTTAACACTTGGAATGAAATTCAAACTTAGTTTTTTCCTTGGTCCTATAATCTTATAATAGTCATTCATTGTCCAAATATTTATTATCTACTATGTAAAATGCATTGAGCTCAGGAAAGGGAAAAGGGAGATGGCTTGTAACATGATCTCAGGCTCCCGATGGGTTCATAAACAAAAAGAAATTGTTTACTGATTTATGAAGCTATGTTCTAAAGTAACACAGAAAGAGACATCTAAATTTGCCTGTAGAGGTATTTATAATAAGAAAAACTTCACGAAGATACCATTTGACCTGAGGCTAAATGAAAAAGAGTTCTGCTAGGAGGAAAAGAAATGGGTTTTTATTTTATCTTTAAATTTTTCATTCAAAGATAACTGGATGGTTATTTTGGTACATAATTCCCTAAGTTTGTTTTCTATGATGTACCCACATAAGAGAGTGAGGGAACATAAAAAATAACTAGCCACTGGTGTGAAAAAGCAAAAAAAAATGCATGATCATAAGTTTTGCATATGGGATCAGAAAAACGCCACCACAAAAGTGAAAGAAAGTTACTACGAGACAAGCATCAGAATTCACCTTTAAGCAATATGCTCAGAAATAACACCTTGGGGACTTAGCTTTATCTAATATTGCAATATTTCTCAAGCATCAGTCATTATTATACCATTCAATGATTTTTGCATTTCACTGTTTTTCATTAAACTGAATTTTTTTAAGTTAAAAAAATTAGCTTTGTTCTAAATATCTCTGAAGTCACAGATGTAATGTAGTGATTACATTTTTTCCTAAGATGTTGAAACAAATACATAACTATTAACATAAAAAAGTTTGAATATCATCTCACATATGCCCTGTTTTCACATATGACAATGGTACCCATACCACACTCTGGGTTGTATAATAAATTGATACACGCAAGACTTAAAAAAGATCTAGTATTTTAATATTTTTGACAACATCAAGTATATTCAGCGTATTGATTCATTCAGTAAATATTTGCTCAGAGTCCACCATGTACAAGGCTAGATAATGTGGGATTATCTCTATTCCTGGATGGTACTGCTCTAATAGTAACTGTAAACAGTACTTACCTAGCTACTTAAAAAAAAAATGCTTTATACATATAATGAATGCTCATTGCAAAAAAATTAAGAAAATATGGTTTAATTAAGAAAATAAAAATGACTAGTAATTTTTCATTCAAAGATAACTGGATGGTTGTTTTGGTACACAATTCCCTAAATTTGTTTTCTATGATGTACCCACTAATTTTTTTTAAGTAGCTAATCATACAGTTTATACTATTTTGTAACTTATTTTTAAAACTTCATATATCATAAACACGTTTGGGTATATCACAATTTATTTAATCAATTCCCTAATGATTTATGTTACTTTTAAAATTTTAAAAACAATGCTAAGATGCACATTCTTTGCACAAACGCCCAATTATTTACTTAAAATAAGTTCTTAGGGGTGCAATGCTGGGAATCAACATTTTATGACACATAATACCAAACTGCACTCTTCACATCACCTTTACCTTGTAGCACTTAAAAAGCTCTCTGCAGGGGCGCCTGGGTGGCCCAGTTGGTTAGGCGTCTACCTTCGGCTCAGGTCATGATCCCAGGGTCCTGGGATGGAGTCCGCATTGGGCTCCCTGCTCAGTGGGGAGTCTGCTTCTCCTTCTACCCCTTCTCCCTGCCTGTGATCTCTCTCTCAAATAAATAAAATCTTAAAAAAAAAAAAAAAACCTCTCTGCACAGAGTAGTTGCTGGTAACTGATGAATAATGAACAAAAGATGTTTACATATGAAGTCACTAATCCCTACTTACACATACTGCCTTTCTAGACTGTGGAACCGATGTAAACTACTGGAAGCAATATGATGCGGTAGAAAGATTTTTCAAAGACTTGAGTTCCAGGCCCAGCTCTGTGTATCCTCACATAAATCACTTTAGCATTGTTTCCTGATTAATCTATCCTAATTTCTCAAGCTTATTGAGAAATTTTAATAAAAAAAAGATATGCAAAAAGATTCTATAAAATCAATCCAAAGGATTTTATGGATATGTTTTATTAATCCAGTGCCCCAAATCAAGTGAAATTTAAGATGCTAGACTGACTTGCCTCACAAACTCATCATCAAACAAACTTTGCTGCTGTTCCTATTCTTATTTTCCAATTTCAGTAACCAAACTCCTATCCCTTTCCCTATACCTCAGTTTGCTGCCTGGTTCCACTATAAATGGAAAGAGATCCCACTCTTACCTCGTAGGCCCTGCTATCTAGAATTCTACCCACTGCCTGATACCTCCTACCTTTCAAATGTGATCTCAGCCCATCAAGTCCTCTCTGACTTTTTCCCAATGCCTATCCTCCTTGGATCTTGTAATCATGGCCAGCCTTTCGCTCATCTGAATACCAATTTTTCAGTTAACAACATAAACAACAGGCAACACCAACACTCAAAATTTCTTGCTACTGGAGGGGACACCAAATTTTAATAGCTCAGTAAACAAGTAAGCATGAACCAGAATCAGATGTTTCTTAGTTCCAAACAATCTTTTCTAGTTGTATTACCCGCTTACCCCTTCAGAGACCTTATTATCTAATCAAATGGGAATACTGATTTCTTCTGAACATATCGAACCATATCTTTGCTCAAAAAGTCCATTCTATACAGAGTGCTCTGGTCTCTCAATTTACTTTTTCCAAACCTTATGGTACTTCCCCTAAGAATTTTTCTCTGGTTACCATATCTTGAGTGACCTCTTCCTCTGAATTCCCATAGCCCTCTGCTAAACATCTTTTATGGCACTTACTATTATTTTATTATATTACAGATCTAATTTCTTCCACTTTAGATATGTGGTGTCCAGTATGTAACCTGCAGCCACATGTGGCAACTGAGCACTTATAATGTGGCTCGTCCAAATTTTATACTTGAGATTAGTATGAAAATAGAATGCAAACTATGCCATTAAAATTTAAGTTGATTACGCATTAAAACAGTTTTTTGATGTATTAGAGTATGTTAATAAAATTAATTTCACCTGTTTTTTTCACTTCTTAATGTGTCAACTAGAAAATTCAAAATTACACATTTTTTATTGGACAGTGCTGCTTTAGGCTGGTGCCACTGTAGAGTTTAGCAGGCTTTTATTTGCAATATAGGATCTTGGGAAGGGCTGAAATCAAGATCAAATCCACTCAACAAGCTATGCACCTTGCAGAGGTGCTGTGTCTGCTCAGGGGGAATAAACCTACTGCTTCACTCAAAGATGCTGTCCCTTACCAAACTGTGAACTCTAAGAGCTCTATGTATCCAAAAGGGCATCAATTTTTTTTTTTTTTAAAGATTTTATTTATTTATTTGACAGAGAGAGACACAGCTAGAGAGGGAACACAAGCAGGGGAAGTGGGAGAGGGAGAAGCAGGCTTCCCGCAGAGCAGGGAGCCCAATGCGGGGCTCGATCCCAGGACCCTGGGATCATGACCTGAGCCGAAGGCAGACGCTTAACGACTGAGCCACCCAGGCGCCTTTGGGCATAACTTTTTCTAATTTGCACAGGCATCATATAAGCTAGCAGTAGCCCCAAGATGGGGGACCATGTCTTACTCATGTTCTACCTGCCACATACTAGTTACTAAAAGTAGTTGAATGAAGGATGGATGAACACACGACTCTACTAGCCCTCTTCAGACACACCTCTTCTTACTATGTGATGACAACATATAACACTTTATCTGGTTAAAGAATATAGCTCTCACTAGTGCCTACCACAAATCAAAATCATTCATTAGCCTCAAGTTTTCCTCTCTTAGCCATTATAGCACCAAATAAAAGATTAATAATCATTTTATGGCATTTTTTTCTTTCACAGCTTTATACTCCCAAATAAGCATTTGATCATTCCCATTATACTATGAAAATACTATATATGCCTTCTTTAAAAAAAAAAAATCAGTATAAAAATAAATAATGTAATATCAAAGAACATATAATTCTTTCCAACCAACCTGATTGCATTTCTCTTCTTGTGTCAGAGTACTTGACCTTGGGAGATTTCACAATTTCAGAGGGGCCCAAGTCTCCTGTGCTTAGTTTTCCTTTGGGACATGAGTCTGTACAATGCTGAACAATGCTTTTCTTCTCTGTTGCACTTTTTTGTGTAAATTCTTCTCTGTCTTTCTTGGGACTTATTTTTGAATCTACCTTCTTAGATTTGCATGACTTTTTCATTTTCTGGATTCTGTCAGAGTTATATAAATCATTTTTATCTCCAGAATCCTTTTGATTAATTTTCTTGGTTTCTTTCTTTTTCTCCTCAACTAGATTTTTTGATTCTATTTTGTTGTTAGTCTGGGGTTTTTTCTTCTTCATTTTCTTTTGGTTCAGTGCTTTATCATCTTCATCAGATAGATCTGAATCAGAATCTGAAAGGTCATAAAAACGTTTCAAGTCCTCTGTAGTGCTGTGGTTGATGAGGCGTCCTCTTTTATCTACAGCATAATTCAATTTGAACCTTTTGTCATGAAACATTGCTCGAAATCTCTTGTCAATTTTGACTTTTCGATCCTTTTCTGGCATTTCCCAAAATCTTGGGTCTTTTGTAACCTTCTTAAACCGCTGGTCACTCATTATTTCTTGTTTGGATGCCATTTTTAAATGTCTGACTGGACAAATGCTTGAAGAAATAAAATCCTAAAAAGTAAAACAAATATTACAATAATGAAGGGTTAGTTAAAAAAGATGCTTTGGGAAAAAATGCTAATTCAGAATATATTCTAAGTTAAATAAAAGTAACACATCCAATTTCATTTCCCAAACTTATTCTGAGTCACATACAGAAAAACAAAAACTATCAGAATATCCTCTTTTGATTATAGAGCATTTGGAGAAAAAAATTTAAGACAAAACCAAGCAGAATTCCAGGGCTTTACAGAGGGAGACAAACACTTACTAGCCAATTGCACTCACTTAGAATTTCTACATTTCTTTTTGTATACCTGTGTACCTGTTACAAGTTAAAAGCTAATGTAATCAAAAGTTTCCCAAGCCTCAGTTGGTCCTATTTCTCTCTTCACATTCTGGTCCCATTCTTTCTGTTAGTCCTTACTTCATGCTTAGTCTCCTAACTAAATAGACTCAAATCAATTCAGATTCAGCTCACAAAATTCCCTCTTTAAATCCGACCATCCTTCAAAAACCATGTAAATTTTCATCCCAGTTATTAATAAACATCTCTTCTCTGTATAATTTCTTATTCTATAAGTAAGGCCCAAATGGGCTGGTTCTCCCCAAAACATAATTAGACTCTGTGTGTGTGTGTGTGTGTGAGAGAGAGAGAGAGAGAGAGAGAGATAGAGAGAGAGAGAGATTAGTATTGTTCCCTTGAAAACAGTAAGGGTTTAGCAACTCGATTTGATTTTTGCAGAGCTAAGAGTCATTGATTTTTTTTTTTTAAGATTTTATCTATCCATTTGTCAGAAAGAGAGAGAGAGAGCACACAAGTAGGGGGAGCGGCAGGCAGAGGGAGAAGGAGGCTCCCCTGCTGAGCAAGGAGGCCATGGGGCACTGGATCCCAGGACACTGGGATCATGACTGGGGCCGAAGGCAGACGCTTAACCGATGAGCCACCCAGGCGTCCCAAGAGTCATTGATTATTAAGAACAGAAAGGAACTGATCAAACAGGGTAGCAGTGTTTTGTTCTGAAAGCAAGACTTATATTTTTTTCCTTAAATTTGAAAACAATTTTTTATACGTCAAAAAAAGACACATAGGTTTCAACGATGCACTTATACACGTAAGCATTTACCCCTCTGAACAAACAGGGAACAAGGTAGCTACCATCTCATCCAACTATTAGTGACAATGCATATATATGTTTACAAGGAAAGCATTCGATAAACGTCAGATATTCAGAGAATCACCTTCCGACGCCCACCTTCAACTCCACAGCCCACTCTCCCTTCTACCCACCCTCTAAAGCGGAGAACACCAGGGTGGTCCTAGAACGGCGATCTCCTTCCTAACCCCAAACCTCAGGGCACAGCTACTGGGCTGAGGTCCCTCGACAGGACCCTAGAGAAGACCAAGGAAGTCTGAAAAACGACACTGGAATGGCAAAGAAAAGGGCGCAACCCCTCACGAATCCAAAGACCCTGTCAAAGACTGGTTCGGCACCCTCCACCGCGGTTCTTGAAACCCAAATCCACTAACCTCCTCCGAGCTCTCGCCAAGTCTCACGTGCGACACACACCCACAATTCTCCGCGTGACGCTCCGCCGTGATGGCAAGAGAACTGGGCCAAACTACTTCCCCTTTCCCCTCCGCGGCGATCTCCGGCGCAGGCGCCGGAGCCGCGGTGGCGCATGCGCAAGGTAAGTGCAGCGGCCAGGGGCGTCACCGCTGGACATGCTGGGGCTGGGCGGTTTCTGGCTCTTGTGGCGGCGACCTCCTGCAGCGGGGGTCCCAGCAAGGAACCTCCGCTTCAGGAAGGTCGCCTCCGGCGTCTCTCCCCCGGGCAGCACCTCGCCCAGAGCCCTAAATATCTTCGACCGGGATTTGAAGAGGAAACAGAAAAACTGGGCGGCCCGGCAGCCTGAGCCGATGAAGTTTGACTACCTGAAGGAGGAGGTGAGCCCGCGGGGCAGTGGGGGAGGGCGGCGCCGAGCTCTGGCGCCGGTTCGGGGGCTCCGGCCAGGTCCCAGCCGACCCCAGCTGAGTCCACCCGCCGGGTGACCTTGAGCAGCTGCACTGCCTGTCTCGGCGTCTACTGTAATCACTGAAGGGGTGGGTGAGGATATTTGTAAGGTGCTATTCATTCATTCATTCATTCATTCATTCATTCATTCATTCATTCATTCAGATATCGCTTGAGTTACAGCTCTGTCCTGGGCAGAGTAAGACCGCTACCCTCAGGAGGTTTCATTCTTGGGGGCGTCGGTGAACAAGAAATGTAATTTCAGCCAAAGAAGTAAGGTGAGGTACTAAAGTGAAGTAGTATAGTGACTGCGATGGTCAGTCAGAGAAGGCCGCTCAGGCAGACGACATGATGAGGAATTAGGCAAGCTAAGATCTGGAGGGAATAGCCTTTTAAGCAAAGTGAAGGACAAGTGAAGAGTTTCTGAGGCGGAAAGGACCTTGTTGATGCCTCCAGTGAAGCTTCGGTGAAGGAGAGAGTGGGAGAGGAGGTCAGGGAAGGCGCAGGTTATTAGGGCTGTAGATAAGAATTTTGGATTTTCTCGTCTAACTGAACTGCCCATTCAGTATGGTAATCTCTGGCCACATGTGGCTATTGAGTGCCTGAAATGTAGCTAGTCCAGTTGAGATGTGCTGGATCTGTAAAATACACTGGATTTCAGTGACTTAGTGTGAAAAAAGGATGCAAAATATTTCATTAACAGTTGTTTTTTTTTTATCTTGATTACGTGTTGAAATTGTAGTTTTGTTATATTGGGCTAAGTAAAATATGTGAAGAATAATTTCTCCTGTTCCTTTTTACTTTTTAAAAGTGGCTATTAGAAAATTAAAATGACACATATGGCTCTCATTGTTTTTCTGTCGGTCAGTTCTGTTCTAGAGGAATGTGAGCCTGTTGAATGGGTTTTTTGTTTGTTTGTTTGTTTTGAGGGGAGGGGAGAGTCAACCCTGGGGCTAGATCTCACAACCCTGAGACCATGACCTGAGCCAAAATCGAGAGTTGGTCACTTAACCGGCTGAGCCATCCAGGCGCCCCTAGCGTGTTGAATTAAGCAGTGGAGTGATAGGATCTGATATATGTTTTAGGAAAAGTAATTAAGATAAATTAAGATCTCAGATTTGTGCTTGTTTGAAAGACCTCTTCCTCTGTCCAGGTGGACTAGAAACTGAGGGTTTCTACTCTCTGGACACACAGCACCAAGTTCAGGCCTAAGTAAATGTTTCTTTGGGGATGAAGCAAAATTGAAGTTAAGTGTAGTGAACTCTTTAAAGCCGAAGCAAGAAACAGTTTTTGAGGTCTGTGCAAGCTTGGCCTGACCAGATGATGACTGTGTTCATTCTTAGGGTTCATAATGACATGTACTTAGAAGATGTATATTTCTAACCACTTTTCTCCAAGCAAAGCGTGTAGATCTGGTATACTTCTTTCCCTTCCCCCACTACCCCCCAAAGCAAATACACATATGTTCTGAACTTCCAAGTCCTAATAGAAACTCTGGGGTGTTTATGAAAGAATAGTAGAGTGTGAGGACTATTTCTCACATCTTTATTCCTGACAGATGAGGCTAGCCTAGCAAAAAGGAAGCACCTACCTTATGGCCTCTTTTAGATTGGGATGGGATTGGGGAGAACAGCATAAAGTGCAATTTCTTCAGATTTGGCTGACTTTCTAATTTGCACATGTTCCTTGGAAAAGTTGTTTACTTGTTCAGTAGTTCCACAGAATTTCTTAGGAGTCTTTATAGATAATAGAGTTTTTTTGTTTGTTTTGTTTTGTTTTAAAGATTTTATTTATTTATTTGACAGAGACAGCAAGAAAGGGAACACAAGCAGGGGGAGTGGGAGAGGGAGAAGCAGTCTTCCCGCTGAGAAGGGAGCCCAACGCAGGGCTCTATCCCAGAACCCTGGGATTATGACCTGAGCTGAAGGCAGACGCCCAACAGCTGAGCCACCCAGGTGCCCCCAAATAATAGAGTTTTAAAGTGATCTTTATACATTGATCTGTAATAAACCCTAGCTAACAATATTTTTTCACTTTCATGTATCTCATGCTAATATCTGTGGACAATAATGTATCTGTTATGCTCCTGTTGCTTCTTATCCTTGTAATCTTACATAGAACATACAATGTAAAGGCCAAATATATACATATTCATGAATATTTAGTCTTGGATTCATTAAATGGACTTCTGAAGTAATTTGCCTGAATTTGTTTCCTGGGATAGTTTAATTTATGGTGTTTATAATTTATGGTCAAATTGATATAATTTGTGGTCAAATTGAAAATGGGATAGAGAGAAGTACTTATCAACATGTTGAAACATAAGTAACATGTGGATTATTGAATATAAGAAAAAGTGTTGCTTCTCTTTTAAACCTACTCAACTTTTATACATCATTGCTGCTTGTAATCCTTCAGGTTGGAAGTCGGATTGCAGACCGTGTGTATGACATAGCCAGGTAAGTAATGATTATCATAATAAAATACAATTAACTTTTGGCTGAAGATTCAAGAGATTGAATGCTGAGAGCTTAATGTCTTGAATGGCAGAATCTGGAGGAATTTATTACCGGAATTAGTGATTTTAATCACACTCTTAAGTCTCTCCTTTTTTTTTTTTTTTATTTTTTTTATTTGAGAGAGAGAGAGCAGGAGCACAGGGAAAGGGAGAAGCAGACTCCCCACTGAGCAGGGAGCCTGATGTGGTGCTTGATCCCAGGACCCTGGGATCATGACCTGAGCCAAACACAGATGCTTAACTGACTGAGCCATCCAGGCACCCCAAGTCTCTCCTTTTTTATGTCTGGAGAGCACGTGTTCTTTTTTTATCCTTTTTGCCAAAAAAAAGAATGAATAGAAGTACAACTCATAGCTTCTCTATGAGCCTGAATGACTGATCCAGTTTCATTTGGCTAAAAGCCAGTAATGAAAACATTGCTCCAAAAATGGAGGTAAAAATTGACCAGCTGTGAATTTTTAAGATTTAATAAACCTAGCTTTAAAAGTTTAACTACAATTAAAACAGAATCTTTACTATCTCAGTGAAGGAAATCTACCTAGATTTGTTCCCCACTCAGATTATATGAGACTTCGGCCATTTTATCTTAAGTATTGTTAATGGCAGTAGGGTTCTATGACAATTACATAGAGGCAGATTTGAGAAGAGAACACTTTAATGAAGTATTAAACCCTTGGTGAATTCATTGCTGTGTATTAGGCATAACAATTTTACAAATTCAGGTTTACAGCTGTGTGGCAGGAACCACATAAATAATGGTTAAATAATGTCTTTACTGTAGAATTGTTCTGTGATGTTAGCAAATCACTTTTTTGTGCTCTTTTGTTTAAAAGACATCCATTAATTAGACCAACATGGGATGAATTTATTACATTTGTTTATAAAAAGGGGAATTTTTTTTAAATCAAAAACTCAAGTCATTTTTTAGAAATATTCTTGCTACTTAAAAGAATCTTGGAATGAATTAATTTCATATGGTAAAAAATGCCTCATTGTTATAAATAATCACCCCCATTTCGTCTGTTTTATTCCATTATTTTAAGGCTCTGAAACAAATAGCTAGTTCTGTGTACTGCAGCCATTCATTTGCCTGGATTTTAGGCCATTTATTAAAAATGAAACATTAAGTTTTCCAAATCAGTATGGGTTTTATAATCTTTTTATGTCATAGTACTGAGCAAAACATAGATCTACAGAGAGACCTGTGATTATGGCTAAAAGCATGTCTTAAACTAACATTAACTCTTTAGAACTAAATTATTAAAAATACCAGTCTAAAAAAATACAGTGTAAATGCCCTTGCACTAACATTCTATTGTTACAAAGTATAGTTTATATTGTCCACACTGATGTTTTGTTGATTCTTAAAAAAATAACCCCACAGATTATTAAATGTCTTATTTGTGGTATCTGAAGTCCATTTAATACTGTTATAATCTGGGGACTCCTGGGTGACTCAGTTGGTTAAGCGTCTGCCTTTGGCTCAGGTCATGATCCCAGGGTCCTGGGGTTGGGCTCCCTGCTCAGTGGGGAGTCTGCTTCCCCCTCTCTTTTGCCCCTCCCCCCCACTCATGTGCACTCGCTCACACTCTCTCTCTCATGAATAAATAAATCTTTTAAAAAAACTGTTATAATCTGTGGTAGTAACAACTTATAATCAACTTCTGTTGAGTATTTGTACTGTGCTAGATACTTTAAACGCGCCATTTCATAAAATTCTCTTGAGGGAGGTAGTAGCTTTTCCATTTTATAGATGGGGAAACAGATTCGGTAAGATTAAATCACTTGTCCATGGTCACAGAGCCAATAAATTACAGGCCCAGAATTCTAAATCATGTCTTTCTGATCCCAAAGCTTGTGTACTTTACCATGTCATACTGCCTATGTTCACAATCAAGATAGAGGGCATTATGTAAATAAATGGTTCTTTCTCATCACCAGTTCTCCAACTGTGTACTGGTGGTCTATATTTTTGACATAAGTTTTTAACAGAAATTGAAAAAGGACTGCCAATTTTGTTTCCAATATAAAAAATGCTATTCGTGGATAAAATTTTAAGTTTTCTTGTCATATGAAATTGGCTTACAATTAGATGTGTGAACTGGTTTTGTATGACATATATTTAGAGGAGGCAATGTAGTATGGGGGATAGTAATTCTGGGTCAAAATTCTGACTACCTGAATTCAAGTTCTGACTACTGCTTATTAGTTGAGTGACCTTGGGTTGACTTACTTTGAACACTTAGCACATTGCTTTGAACCTGCTAAGATTTCTTTTTTTTAAGATTTTATTTATTTATTTGACAGAAAGAGAGAGAGACAGTGAGAGAGGGAACACAAGCAGGGGGAGTGGGAGAGGGAGAAGCAGGCTTCCCGCTGAGCAGGGAGCCCGATGCGGGGCTCAATCCCAGGACCCCAAGATCACAACCTGAGCCGAAGGCAGATGCCCAACAACTGAGCCACCCAGGTGCCCCAAACCTGCTAAGATTTCAGTAAAAGTTAGCTACTGTTTAGTTGTTTTGTTTTGTTTTTAGTTTAACATGTTAGTATTTCATGGTATTTTACGTGATGATTTTTAAATTATCTGCTGCCTCAACAAATTTGAGAAAAAGGGATAATTAAGTTCCTGATAAGTATGCCAATATTTTCATGTTAATTTAGGTTAGCTTCTTTTCATTCTTTATTTGTATATATTATTAAATTAAAATATCCCCACTAAATTTGTTCTTTGAATCCACATCATGGAGCAACCTCATGGAAAGCCAGTTGACTGTGAGGTCCTGTGAATGTCTGGACTAGATAGACTTGCTCCTTCAATATGTTCTCTGGTAGAAACAGCTTATAAGGTGAGGCAGAAAAGGCAGATGATGTAACTTTTTGAAAGTTGTGTTCATTAAAATGTTTTTACTTAAGAAAAATTAGTTTTGAGTAGTTGTTTTGTGGACTGTGTTATTACAGACAAAACATAACTTCTGGGCGCCTGGGTGGCTCAGTTGGTTAAGCGACTGCCTTCGGCTCAGGTCATGATCCTGGAGTCCCGGGATCGAGTCCCGCATCGGGCTCCCTGCTCGGCGGGGAGTCTGCTTCTCCCTCTCCCACTCCCCCTGCTTGTGTTCCCTCTCTCGCTGTGTCTTTCTCTGTCAAATAAATAAATAAAATCTTTAAAAAAAAAAAAAAAACATAACTTCTGTGTCTATTTTTTAGAAATTTTTCCCTTGCTTTGGATGTTGGTTGTGGAAGAGGTTACATAGCACAGCATTTGAATAAGGTATATGTATTCAATGACTTAATTTGCTTTAAGAAATAAACTTGACTATTTTTACAGAAAGTCTTCCTTAATTCAGTTTGTATCATATATAGATTTTGATTATATCAAACTTACTAAATTTTTTTTAAATTGACAAACACTACAACTCGGGGCACCTTTTTTTTTCTGAAGCCTGTAGTTAAACATTCACCTGCACACCAGTTGCACTTGACTAGTTAGCAGTGACCAGGCAATAATAGGGTACCTTTTCCAAGTTGTGGACAGGGAAGTTCTTTAAGAAGGGAGTGTGCATGAAGTAGAAAGGATCAGAAGGAGGGGAAGCAGAGTAGAAAGTACTGAAGAAGTTTCTAGAAGACCACCAACAGTGCTGGACTTCAAAGAGGTCAAGTAAGGTAGGACTGAAAGCCGACACGCTGTTGTAGTTGATTAGGTCATTAATAATCTTTATAAATAGTGTTGTTAGAGCCCTGAAAGTGGGAATAGGTTACCAAGAATTGAGGAGAAAGACATTAATGAGAATTGGAGTTGTAGATTGCAAACAGAACTAGAAGGTAGTTAGAGGTGAGGAGAGATTGGGAGGCTTACGCCTGTTTCAAGGTAAGGGAAAGAGACACAGAATAAAGAGATGGAAGATTAATAGAGATGGTGATGGGTGGAGCAGAATCCTGGAGAAAAGAGCATAGTGGAAGGTGTTAATCTGGGAAAGAAATGGTGCAGTGCTCTTGGAAGGAAGAAAGAAGAGATGAAACAGGGAAAATGAAACCAGTGAGTTCCCCTTCTCCCCAAGTGTCTGTGTTTTTTAAGTCTTTCTTTACTCTTTGTAAACTCTTTGAATGAACGGCTGAAAGGCAGGAAAACTATCTAAGTCTTTTGTGGCCCAGGAATGGGGACTAGCTCTCAGCATGTTGTGCTATGGAAAAGTTAACACATAAGCCTTAATCCAGTGGAGTGAACTAAAGAGGTTGATTACTCACACCTATGTTGTGTATTTTATTAAATATAGTTAAATGTGTTAAATATAGGCATGGTTGCATGTATTTAAGTCTGTGTAACTTACTATATGTTATTGTAGCTAGTTGTTTACCATACTGGTTTTAATGCAGAAAAATACCCTTACAAAGCTGAAAGTAACTCTATGATTGCCACTTTCTAGTTTAGCAGTTTCAACAATTATTTTGTTTTGTTAGTGGTTTTTTGTTTGTTTTGTATTATCTGATTTACTTTATTCCATTGCAGGAAACTGTTGGAAAGTTTTTCCAAGTAGACATTGCAGAAAATGCTTTGGTAGGTAGCTCTATAACACTATTGATTTCTGATCTCTTGGTTTTATTTTTAGTTTTTATTTTTATTTCCTTCAAAATGAAAATAGCTTTTTTTTTTTTCTGATTATGTATAACACATATAAAGAATTAAACAGTACAGGAAATGTAAAGGGGAAAGAAAATATCATCCCTGGTTCCACCATTCAGGGGCAACCACGGGTGACATTTTGATCTCCACCCTTGCAGATGTAGAACTGTCTCCCAACATACAATTTTATACAAATGGTATAATGGTAACATGCCATGTTTTTCACAGGGTATCATTCTTTTATATCAATGAATGATATATGTGCGCACAAATTCCACCTTTTTAAAAGGCTGTATCGTATTCCAATATAAGAATATTCCATGGTGTATTTGGCTAAATTTCTATTGAAGGACAGTTCTATTTCTAGTTTCTTAATAACCAGCACTGTGAAGAACATCCTTATATAAAGCAACTTGGTACATTTGATTTATTTTTCTCCCTGGAAATAAATTCCTATACATCAGACTACTGTTAGGAGCACTGGGTGTTATACGAAAACAATGAACCATGGATCACTACATCAAAAAATAATGATGTATTGTATGGTGACTAACGTAACATAATAAAATTTAAAAAAAAAGAAAGAATAATATTATATGAAAGCACTTTTTCTCTTCTTTGGCGAGACTGGGCCATTTTTTCTGTCTTTGTAGGTTTGATAGGCAGAAAGTAGAATCTTACTGATAGTTTTATTTGCACTTTGAATGCAGCCAAATAGCTATTGATGTCTTTGGGCTATTGGTATTTCTTAATTTGTGAATTTGTAAGTAATTTTGTGATGTGCCTATACCTGCACTGTTGCCTTAGTGTGTTCTTTCTCTGGGTAGTTTTAAGAGTTTGTTTTTTTAGGGATATTAATTTCATCATTTTTGTTGTAAATATTTTCCAAAGTGTGTTGTTTACATTGTTTATGGGTTTTTAGAAGTTTTTGATTAATTTATCATCACATAGATCAGTCTTTTCCTTTACAGTTCCTGGCTTTTGAGTCACGTTTGTTTAAAGTGTTACCATCTAAGAGTATAAAAATGTTTACCCATAATTTCGTCTAGTACTTTTATGGCTTCAGTTATTCCACTGAAACTTTCAGCTTTCTGAGATTTGTTTTGGTGTGAGATAGGTATCCTATTTATATTTTTCCAAACCATTAGCCAGTTTTTGTGGCTGGTCTTAGTTCTCATTTAAGAAACACTTTTTGAGCTTCTCTGTGGCTCTGTTTTGGGTTTTTTTGTTTGTTTGTTTGTTTGTTTTTGGTAGGGATAGAAACTGCCAAGTAAATATAACATTGACTAAATTTAACAATGATTGCATTAGTAACAGATTTTCTCTGAATGTATTTTGAACTTTTATTTTTTTAACCACTAGAAAAATATCTTAGAAATGGAAATTCCTACTGTTAGTGTTTTAGCTGATGAAGAGTTCCTTCCCTTCAGAGAAAATACATTTGACCTGGTGGTTAGCAGTTTAAGGTTGGTAATCTATTTGTACTTCTTAAAAGTGTATGTTATAAATAACTTATGGTATACAGTTTTAATATTATTGAGTAAAGAAAATAGATAATGGAGTAAATTCTTAATAATTTCGTTAAAGTCACAAACCAGTTTTCTTAGTTTATAAACTGTAAGATTTCTCTGGTAAAGAATTACGAATTATATGCTCCCTAGTGGAGATGATATGCTATAGTACCTTAACTTTTTCAATTTGCTAAAGCTCATCTGTGATACAGGGGTTTTCCTCCCCAGTATACATAACTTAGTATCCATATTGATGAGGGCAGGAGTTGGAAAGAGTATACTGGCTCCAACATTCAAATATTAGAGCACTCTTATAAACTCAGTCTGGCAAGTAAGGAAAAGCTAGTAGTTCCTTCAACTTCAGTTTTTCTCCCACACAGAAATATGGTCCTTAAGGTTATATTTTCCCATTTGTGCTTCCTACCATGTCCCTGCACATTGATTACACAAACATATAAATGTTTATTGAATAGATTATAATACACGAGGCTCTGAGCTAGATGCTTTGGGGAAATAGAAAAATGAATGCAGACAGGGATCCCGTCCTCAAAGAACTCAGCATCTAATAGGGAAAAATAAAAGTCTGTGTGTAACTTTATTTCCCCTATCTTGTTGTATAGTCAGATTTTCTTTCAAAGATTCAACATGCTCTTCATGTCAGCACAGCCCTTTTGATCGCTGTTTTTAGAGTGACCAGTCACTGTGGTTCACCCAAGACTTTGCTAGTGTTAGCACTGAAAGGCCTATATCCCAGGAACGCCTCATTCCCAAACAGTTGCACTTTAGCTGTTTCCTTCAGTGAGTTTGTAATTTCTTCCATACTTTTTAAGGTATGCTTGGCAAATTTAGAAAATTATTCACATTCTATCATGAAATGAAAAACATTACAGAGAATGTTGGTCTAAGGGAAAGAGCCCTGGGCGGGGAGTTAGAATGTGAGTTTTAGCTTTTCTGCTTTCTGTTTGCAAGTACCTAATTCTGTTGCTTTCAGTTTCCCCATAAGTATGATAGAGCTTGTGATATTTCCTTCTTAATTTCTAAAGTATCTAATAATTGTTACAAAGCATCATGAAAGATAAATGTGAGCTTAACAGTATGGTTTGAAATGGGTATTCAGTGCTATCCTGGAAGTCAGCATAGGAGGATGCCACCTGTGTCAGGAAAGTATGACCAAACTCTACAGAGACTATGATTCTTGCCATCACATATCATCATGCACTGGTAGGGGGTGAGTAGAGGCAAAAAAAAAATGCAAGAGATTTCCTAAATTAAGTTCTAAATAGTATATAGTATTTATAGTACTGTAACATTTTCTCATGTCACAGAAGGAAGGTTTTCCCCTAGGAATATTTTTTGCTTTAAAACTTGTATGAAAACAATCAGTGAATTTTGATATGCAATTTTAGACTTCAAAATTAATACCTTTTTGATGGCTTTATATGAGTGATAATTATACTAATTATATGAATTAAGCTAAAATCAAAATGTTATTAATATTCTAGCTTACACTGGGTGAATGACCTTCCTAGAGCGCTTGAACAGGTAAGAAATTCTCTAATAGCCTGTATTATTTTATTATTAGAAACTTCTAAATATTTCCGTTTTTATCAGAATCTTCCAAATATTTTCCATTTTATACTTCTGATAGTTGGAAATGAAAGCAAATCAAGTATTTATCATCTTCTGTGGGCCAGATACACTTGGTGCCCTTTGGCATATTAAGAAGTACATTGAGTGACTCCCTTGCCTAGGAATTCAAGAAATCTAATTATGGAGATGTTTTAAATATTTATGAAAAGTTATACAAAATGACTTGGACAAAATGATATTAACATCACATTGATAAAAGACATTTTCTGTGTGGGTCCCTTTTCTTAATTGCCTATAAATTTTGTGTGGGTAGGAACCTATTGGTTCATATTTGTATCTTCCCTGTGCCTTATAATTAGAGAATGTGAGGTATGTTTGTTGGGTAGCATTTATCAATGAACTGGTGAAGAGTAGGTAAAAAGCACTGTGTTCAGAAGAGGGAAGGAGATCACAGTGGCTTGGAGTAGCCTAGGAGAGCTTCAAGAACAGGGAATTACTTTAGCAGGGCCTTAGAGAATAGGTCAGATTTGGGGTGGGAAGGCAGAATCACAGGATAGGTGGGAGATATGAGAGCCTCAGAAGCATGAAGGGACAGAGAGGAAGCCTCTTTGGAGATTAGTATAGTACTTGGAGATAAAGTATCTTGGGACCAGATTTAGGAAGATTTGGGTAACAGATTAAGGAATTTAGAGTTCATTCTTTATGCAATTCAGAGCTGCTGTGGAGGATTTTGAAGAGGAAAGTGACATGTTTAAAAGGCCGGCAGGCAGGATAACTACCATATCTTAAGCACACACTGTTTGCCAATCACTGTGCCCTGCTTTATATGTGCATTAAATAAATAACTCTGTAAGATGTCTTCATTTTGCTACTTGGAAAACTGATGCCAGAAGTTTTGGTTCAATTAAAGAGACTGCTTCCATCATCCAAGCATGAGAGAAACTGAAGTTAGGTGACAGTGGCAGGAGTTAACAGGAAGAGAGAGTATTTGGATGAGATACTTTGATGAGAGTAAAGGAAGAATCAACAGTTTGGTGGCTGGTTAGATCTGAAGATCAGAGACAGGGAGGAGTCCAAGCTCATCTTAAAGTTTTGAGTCTGGATGCCTGAGAGAATATTTAGTAAAAGCAGGGGAAAGAATGGTAATGATCAGATAAAGGGAATGGAAAATGGTACTTGACAGAAATATGGCAATTGGAGAGGGGAGTGGGTTTGAGAATAAGTGTGTGTGTGTTGGTTGTGTTGGGAGGGTGAGTTTGCCAAGAGACAAATTCCATGGCACAGGCAGATGAAAATGAGTTTAGAGTTCTGGGAAGATGTCCAGGCTAAAGATAGTGACTGGAAATCATCCTTGTGAAATCCACGGGAATCGATAAGCCCCTCTGAGGTAGAAAGAAGCTGCAGAGAGCTGAGGAATGAATTTTAGATCCCTGCTATATTACAGTTTGGTGACAAGGGAAGGAAGCAACACTAAAAGGGCAGAAGGGAAGAAAGTGAAGATTTTATAGTTTGCTTATATACTGTTTTGTAATTGCTTCATAATTTATTAAATATAAATTTAGGATAGATACTTTGATGAGAGAGCCTACTATGATTTGGGGTTTACTTCAGAATCTACCTTCTCCTGTAATGTTCCTTATTGTTGAGAATGGTCCATCAAATCTAGTTCCAGATGGTGGTTCTAAGAGAGTCCGTGAGTAAACATTTGTGATTCTGGAAGCCATTACAGGCACTGTTTTGCTTGAGTTATCAATTAAAAATTGCTTTCGTTTTAAAGTTGGAAAGTAAGTTAGTTACTTCTCCTTCAAGGAGACTAACGTTTGACTAGGTTAATCTTGTGAATCACAATAATTTCTGTACAAATTAGCTTTTTCTGCTAAAAAGCCACCCCAACTTAATGGTTTAAAACAGCAGTTTACTTAGCTCAGGATTTTGTGGATTGGGTGGGAGTTTGGGTTGGCCTTAGATAGGAAATCCTTCTGGCTCTGGCTTGGCTCACAGAGCCAGTGTCTGTGATCTGCTTCTAGCCTGTCTTGAAGCTGGCCTCTCAAGAATGGCCTTAGCTGGGGTGTCTGAGTGATCTCTGCTCCTCATGTGTCTCACCCCTCACTGGGCTGGCTCAGGCTTGTCCACAGCATGGTGGCAGCACAGGGACTCGTGGAAGGCCATTTCAGACTTCTCTGTGACACTGGCACACTGCCACTTGCGCTGCATTCTTTTGGCCGCAGCAGGTCACAAGGCTGTCCCAGATTCAGGGAGAGGGGAAGTATACTTCAAATTTTTAATGGGAGTTGTTTGATGGGGGTGACATTTAAAGGGCGCAGTAGAGGTTTGTGATTTTTGCAACCTACCACACTTTAAATTTTTTTCTTTCAGTATTTTTCTCATTATAAAAGTAATTTGTATCTATTATTAGAAAAGTTGAAAACATTTAACATATTTTATAGGTATTAATACTATCAATGAATTATTGTCCACCTTTATAATAATACATATGCTGCAGCAGTTTCTTTCTGACATTTGGTTGCCTTAGGTGTTACTTATTAAATTTTCTGATTATTTGACAAAATAAGAATGGTGATTGTAAAATATTGATTTAGACAGCATATATTTATTCTTTTAACATTTTTTATCCTAACTTTTTTTAGTATAAAATTTTAACTAATTTTGTTGTCTTGTATTTATCACAGATTCATTACGTTTTAAAACCAGATGGAGTATTTATTGGCGCAATGTTTGGAGGTGACACACTCTATGAACTTCGGTGTTCGTTACAGTTAGCAGAAACAGAAAGGGAAGGAGGATTTTCTCCACACGTTTCTCCTTTCACTGCTGTCAATGACTTAGGACATCTGCTTGGGAGAGCTGGCTTTAATACACTGACTGTGGTAACTATCAAGAGAGTTGATTAATTCTCATTAACCCATTGATCACACAGTTCAGAAACAACTTCTCATTAGAGATCTGTAGGTATCGATGGTATTATGAAAAGGTTTTCACAGATTTTCTCTTTTTAAATTTAGTTTGTATAAACACGTCTTGATTGATAAAGGTAGGAACATGAAATTTTTAGTATTTCTTACCTGAATATGTAGCTCAAAAAACCCAAACCTCAGTTAACAAGGAGATTGTTTTCCAAGACATACTACTCCATTAGAATTTTTAAATCCAGAGTTATATGTAATATGAGAGAGTTCAGATAATGGGGAAAAGAGGATGTACGGGAGCATTTACAGCACTACCTCTACCACCAGCCCTCAACTGAAATCGTGCTGTATGAGGCAGAAATGAAAGTATGTGCATTTATGGTCAAAGGTAGAAAATGTAGGAAAGGGGGCTATACACCATTAGGGCTAGAGAGATCTGGAAAGAGGACCTATAAGCTGTCAGAAGAAATATGGAGTCAGTACGGTACAGTGATGGTACGGGGCATAAGGTGTCTGACGGGTATAATTTGGTTCCTTGTCTTGCCCCTTTACTAGCTAGGGGAATTTGGGAGATTTACTTCACGTCTCTGAGCATTCATTTTTTTAAGAGAAATTCAAATGTTTCTCACCTCAGGTGGCTACTAGTATTAAGATAAAGGGTGTGAAGTGCCAGGACCATGGTAGATGCTCAATAAATATTTGCTCCTGCCTTCCTCTCTCCCCCTCCTCATACTCCTAGTACTTTGCCATCCAAGGCTTCCAACAGGGAGTCATCTGGACAGACAGTGGTTGCCCCTTCTAGCTCCTTTCATTAGCACAGTCACTCTAAAGGATTTTATTACTGCCTTCAGAGGTCAGTTGGGTAGACTTGCTATGATTTTCCAAACCCCTCAGGTTAAAAACACATCTCTATTCTAGAGGAAATAGGAATTTCCTGATGAAGAAAGCTTCTCATTGATCATAGGCTTAAGATTGAAATAGCCATTTAAGGAGATTTAATGTGAATATATTTCATAAAGTCAACCAACCAAGAAAAGATTGTCCCGTCCTTCCTTGTCTTGTTAGAAAGCACGGGGCATAGACCATAGTCCATGAGAGTCTCTGAAGTTGGAAAGGGGCCTCAAGAAGGGAAGAGACAGTAGGCTAGGAAATGACAGCAACCCTCAAGATTTTACAGCTGTGTCTTTTGTAAACTGCTAATGGCCTGAGTCAGCAAAACAACAGTCAGTTGTTGGCAGCTGGAAAGGGGAAAGCTCTGCTTTGTGAGGGTGCTGCTTTGTAATTAAAGCAAACACTGGCAAATACAGGCAATTGTACAAGAGGGATCACTATATTTTTCACCGTTTTTTAATTATATAAGTAATAACACAAATACATTTTGGTCGTAAACATTAAACTGTAGAGATAAATTGGCAATTTGTCATTCCTCTTTAATCCCCCAAATCTTAGTTCTCTCCTGTGAGCCACGGTTCTCAAAATTTTGTTTTTAGGACCTTGCTACACACTTAAAATTATTGAGGACCTTAGAGAGCTTTTGTTATGTGGGTTATGTCTATTAATATTAACCAAATTAGAAATTGAAACTGAATTTTAGTATTTATTAATACATTTAAAACTAACAATAGTGTACCTATTATGTGTTAACATAAAACATCTGTTTTTTATGGGGGAAGAAAGAAACTATTTTCCAAAAGAAAAAATTAGAAGAATGTCATTGCTTTACATTTTTACAAATTTCTTTAACGTATGACATAATAAAAGTGCTAAATTCTCATGCCTTCTTCTGCAGTCATAAGACTGTCTATGAGAATATCACATGTCATGTAACTTAGGAAAAATTCAGTGTACTCATGAGAGACTGAGAGGTGAAAAAGCCAAATAGCATCTTAGTATTATTTTAAGAATAGTTTTGACTTTGTGGACCCCCAAAAGTGTGTCTTCTTGTGGTTTTGTATGGTTGTAAAGTGGACTGTGCATTTTAGAAAAATTTCTGCTGGAGCCCTGGGTGGCTCAGTTGGCTAAGTGTTCGACTTGATTTTGGCTCAGGTGAGGATCTCAGGGTCGTGAGATCAAGTCCCACGTTGGGCTCTGCGCTCAGCACAGAGTCTGCTTGAGATTCTCTCTTCTCCCCCCGCTAGCACGTGCATGCTCAATAAATAAATAAAATCTTAAAATTTTCTGCTAAAAATGTTTAACCTAACATAGCACTTAAAATCCTACATTTCTGTTAGTTGGGAAATCTATTATGGAAATACCTTCTATATTCTTTTAAAAATGAACTGAATAACTCAAACATTAAGGTACAAAAATATTGGTGTGGAATCTTCTTTGTGGTTTATAAAAATTAATGATTTAATAATAAATATATACAAATTTGTTCCTTGATACATATACACTGTCTCTAATGTGGTGTATTAACATTGTATCATAATTCATTTTCTAAAAAATTCCATCCCAGAAGCTTATAAAATCAGTTACATAGGTTTAAGTTGCATACATTAGGTATATCATTTTTATACTGCAGTGGATTTTTATTTTTAAAGTGAATTCAAGATTTGCTTGTTTACATTTATATGACTTTCATAGTGAATTATTTTCAGAGTTGGTGGGCATTCTGAATGAGGCTCATTTCCTTTTAGAATAGAGTTGCCAGATAATATATTAGGAGAAAACTGCAGATATGGTCCATCTTAATTTGAATAAGGACTTTGACAAAGCTATTGTGGTATTCTTTTGATTGAGATGGAGGTAGTGCTTTTAGTTTCATTGAAAGATTGTTTTTGAAGGATATTGCTTAATGACTATTGTTTTTAATCTTATGATTTCTTTAAAAAATAGTTTCCTAAGGTAGAAAAATATAGAGAAGAAATTGACTACCCAGAGATGGTCTTATTAAAAAGAGCACATATGAACAACATGGTCATGCATATGTTAATAAGAAAAAGGAAATTTAAAAAATGTATAGATAGAATGAGATAAACAGAGCAGGTCTAAAGTGAAAAGAAGTCTCCTCCTCCTGACTTCTGATACCTGGTCCCTCTCCCCAAAGATGACCATTGTTGTGTGTATATCCTTTCAAAACAATTTTTTATCATAGACCACTATACAATTATGTCATTTAAACCTACATATGCAACAGTATATACTCTCTGTTGCTTTTATAAGCACTCTTCGGGGTTTTTTTAGTTAATAGCATACCTTTTTCTTTTTTTTTAAAGATTTTATTTATTTATTTGACAGAGAGGAGCAGAGGGAGAGGGGGAAGCAGACTCCCGGCTGAGCAGGGAGCCTGATGCGGGGCTTGATCCCCAAGACCCTGGGATCATGACCTAAGCCGAAGGCAGACGTTTAACGGACTGAGCCACCCAGGTGCCCTAGTTAATAGCGTATCTTGGAGATCTTCCCCTACAATATCGACCACATTTCCTAACAGCTGTATGGTATTTCATTAAGTAGATATACTTTAATCAGTTCTCTATTAATGGACATTTAGATTATTTACAGCTAGTTTTTTGGTTTTTCATTGTTGTTTTGTTGCTATTTCAGTGCTGTAATGTATTTTCTTTGACATAATCTTGGCACATCTGTCAGGTCAATTTCTAGCAACAGAATTGCTGGGTCAAAGAGTCTATACATTGAAATTTTGACAGATAGGGTCAGATGACTTTACAAACGTAGCATCAATTTATATGCCCCATCAACAATATAAGAATATGGCAACTCTTGCTTATACTTTGTTTTGTATCTTTAAGATTAAAAATAGTGGTCATTTTGTTTTGCATTTGTCTGGGAATTAGAATGGATTTTTTAAGATTTATTTGAGAGAGAGAATGAGTGGGGGCGAGGGGCAGAGGGAGAAGCAGACTTCCTACGGAGCAGGGAGCCTGACGTGGGACTCGATGGGACCCTGGGATCATGACCTGAGCCGAAGGCAGACACTTAACCGACTGAGCTATCCAGGCACCTCTAGAATGGATGTTTTTGATAAGTGTTCTTTGGGCTTTATACTTGATTCTGTTCAACATTAAAGTCTAAAATCAGGAGGAATAATGAACACATTAGATAAAGTTACAAAACACGGAAAGATCTAGACACTTCGAAAGTGGTTAATGCAAATAAGATGAAAGTTTAGTTACATGCAGCATTTTGATACCAAACTTGGGGGAAAAAAAGTATGTGTCCTGTATTTGGGGGCTAATTCCCAATATAGGGAATTTTTTACAGAGATCTAAAGATTAAGAATCTTTAGGAAGATTTCTCTTAGAATAGTGAATATTTATTCTGCAGTTTGACATTTTCATATATCAAGCATAAACCAGATGACATCTGTAAAGATTATTATAAAGAACATTCCTGTTTACCATGAGAAATTGGTCTGGGTAATCTCTGTGGCCCGTTTTCAAATCTGGGTCTTTTATGATGAATGTCAAATGAATATTCCTTTTTCTTTTTAAATAGGATACTGATGAAATTCAAGTTAACTATCCTGGGATGTTTGAATTGATGGAAGATTTACAAGGTAACGCACTTTAAAGAATGTTTAGTCTCCATTTGAGAGTCATATTTTGAGAGCAGACTTGATGGAAGGTACTGGGGCTAAGCACTAGGGATACATTGGTGAGGAGAAAGCAGACTGTCTTCATGGAGCTTATAAAATAAAATGGGCGAGGCAGACATCATGCAGCTGCCATAAAGATAAATGTTAAATTAGAATTGTGGTAAGTGCTACAAAGTAGGGGTGCATGGTGCTATGACTGCTTCTAAAAAGATGGTGGAACTTTCTTGAAGGGTGCATCTGAGGCAGGTAGAGCACATCAGTGACTTTCTCCAACAACAATTGGCAGCTCAGGTCCAGGCACAAGAAAGCGGGTAGTTGGGTTAGTGTGGGATTGGGGTTTATTAAAGGGATAAGTCCTAGTCGGAGAGAGTCAACGAAAGTCTTGTCTGAGGAAGTGGTAATTGTGCTCTAAAAAATGAAGATGAGTTAACTAGGTGAAGAGGGGAGGGAGGTGAGTGGCAGGCAGGGAGAGTAGCATGTGCAAAGGCTCTGTGGCAAGAAAGAGCATGGCAAGTACTGAAAGGGCATTTTGGCTAGAGTACAGGGAATAAAAAGGAGAGAATTAAATAATGAAATTGGTGAGTAAATGGGGACTGTATAGTCCCTGTTGAGATTGTCTGTATCTTAAAGCCCCTTTGAGGCATTAAATGGAGGGAGAAGGGGGAAGTCATGATATCAGATTTGCATTTTGGATAAAATGGATTGGCAGATCAGCTAGTAGGGAGACTCGTTGCTGTAAAGCTTATTGAGAAATGATGGTGGCTTGGATTAAGGATGTAATCCATTCACTTTTGAGAAAAGTGAATGGATTCTAGAGATAATTAGGATGTAAATTTGGCAGTCCTTGCTGATGGGTTACATGTGGGTGAGTGGACAGAGCTATTTCAAACATAACTGCTGAGTTTCTGGTTCACATAACCAGATAGACGGTGCCCCTTCATTGACAGAGAAAACAGTAGAAGAAGACCAAGTACAGACAGGGACACCTCTTGAGTCACGTGTGGGTATTTTGGGTTTGAAGTGCTTGTCAAATGTCTAAGAGGAGATGTCAAGTAGGTGGCTGGGTGTGTGGGTATGTTGTTTTAGAGGAGGTGATTGCCTGGTTAAAATATCATGAGTCATTTGTGAATTGGTGGTATTTGAAGCAATTGCCTGGAATGAGAGCATGAAGTGAGAAGAGAACACGGCCAAATACTGAGCCGTTAGGAACCTAATAGACGGTGACTGAGTAGAAGAAGGATGTGTCTGGACGTATTACAGATGTGATGGCAGAGGCAGAGTATTGGAGAATCATTAATGGTGGGGAGACTAAAAAATCTCAGAGGCCATGGTACTGGTGATTATTAACAGTGGTGATTATTAACCTAGGGTGGTGGCAGGACTTGGGGTACAGATGGAACCTGAATCAGGTGCCAATCCTCTGATGAATGAGAAGAGGGACTGGGAGCCTGATGTCTGTGTCTGACAGCAAGCAGGAGTGAGAGAGGATGATGGCCAAATAGTGTGGGTCTCACCTTGTTTTTGACAAGTTAGAGACAAAATGGCCTGGAAGAGGCTTTGAGGAGCAACAAGGATACAAACCCTTACCTCCCAATTCTGAAAGAGGTAAGGTACGCAGATACACACATCTGCCACAGAGTGGGCTGCTGGAGAAGTGATTTTCTCCAAGGAGAGCTTTGACTTGCCTAAGAAATTATGAGCTTTTACTTTTTATTACCCAAATGGCATAGGCAGCTTTGCTGAATGAAGGAAGCTGAAGCGATTAAAGGTGTGTTCGTTGAAACCAGAACTGTGCTTACCTAGGGGAACCTTAATCTGGATCCTGAAAAATGAAGATGATTTAAGCAAGAGGCTTATAAGACTAAATAGCTTGCAGTTATTTATAGATTTATAGCTTTTCTTAAACGCTATTGCAGTTGCTTCTCTCAGTAGTCCTCTGGTAACTATTTATCTCTGTATTACAAGTGATGAATATGAGGCCCAAAGGGAACACTTGCCTGTTAATGGCAGAATTAGGCCAAACTCTTGCCTTCTTGACTCCTGCTCTGCTAGTCTCTTACCTGACCCGACTTCTTTGGGCTGCCCATTTATAACAGTCCGTTTTACCCATCATCCAGCCTCCTCTGAGAATGGCACTTCTGTTGGCTTTACAAGGAGAAAGGTATGTAGCTGAAAACTTACTACTGTAGTCACTCTTCGTTCATTATAATTTAATACAGGATTGGCAGCTTATAGCATGTGTGCTTGAGATGACAGGGGATCAGTGATAAATCACACATTCCCCTCCCAAGCATTGCCCCAAACACTTGGCTTCCCATGACATAATCACGGAGTCCCTTCATCCAAAGACTTGAGAGATGGTGGTGGGTCGATGATGTATCATTCAGACTCTAATGATAAAAATATTTCTCAAATGCAGCATTTATTTTTATTCTGCTATATAATAAATGCTATGCTCATGATTCATTTCAAGAGAGAAGCAAGAGACTAGAAATTAGATGCATCAGTTGGAAAAGGTTACTACCCACTGATTTAAAAATATAGAACTTACTCTGTGCTGGGTGCAGTTCTGTGATATTTTCTGATACCCTAATTTTACAAATGAGCAAATAGAGACATTGAGAAGTTAGGTATCTTGTTCATGGTCACACCGGAACTGGAATTAGGATTTGAATCCAAAGTCCAATACTGCCTACTTGATCTCTGTGCATTTTTTTTTTTTATTGAAGTTAGCATAGTAAAATGCTCTAATCTTACATGTATAGTTGCTTGTATTTTTAATCACTATCCAGACAAGGATTAGAACATTTCCAGCCCCCTCAGAAGGTTACCTCATGCCACTATCCAGTTGATAACCCCTGCTTCCCCCAAGGGTTTTAAATAGGTCATCTATTTTGAGGACCTGTTGCCTAATATTTACCTTGAGAGGCTTTGCCAGTGCTTCTCTTATTTTTACTGTTAAGCCTTTTACATAAATCATATATTTTAGTCTTTGAATCTCTTATCCTTAGGAGGATTAAGAAGAATTATGTAAAGATAACTTGTAAAAGTGATATTTAACGAAGTAGATATAAACATTAAATGGTTGATTTTATATTCATTCACTTACCATTTATTGAACATCTACCATGTGCCAACTATTGAGCCAGTGATGAAAATACATAGTTCCTTATCTCAGGGAGCTTGTGCTGTAGTAGAGACATAGAGATAAAGAGAGAGACATAGGCATTTAACTGTAAAATGAGATAATTGTGTTTGAAAGTATAGGGAAAAACAGAATCCCTAAATCTGCTTAGGGTATCAGGGATGCTTTTGTAGAAGAGGCAGGACCTAAGCTAAAATGAGTTTGCCAGGAGAGTGAGTGAGTGGTACAGGTTTGGGGCATTGCCTTCCAAGCCAAGGGAATGGTCCGTGTAAAATCATGGAGATGCTTCCTTCACTTTCCTAATTAAGAAACTCTACAGTAATTCTGTATCGCTTGAATATGTAGGGTGGTGAGATGATAGGAAATGATGCAGGATAGTCCACCAGAGGCCTCTAGATTTTATCAGGTGAGCCTGGTACTGTGGGTGGAGAATTTCATGTGAAGGAGAGAGTGTCAGATCACTGTGTTAAAAAGCTCACCCTCGGGTGCCTGGGTGGCTCAGTTGGTTAAGCGACTGCCTTTGGCTCAGGTCATGATCCCAGAGTCCTGGGATCGAGTCCCGCATTGGGCTCGCAGCTCAGCAGGGAGCTCAAATAAATAAATAAATAAATAAAATCTTTGGGGCGCCTGGGTGGCTCAGTTGGTTAAGCAACTGCCTTCGGCTCAGGTCATGATCCTAGAGTCCTGGGATTGAGTCCCACATCGGGCTCCCTGCTCAGCGGGGAGTCTGTTTCTCCCTCTGATCCTCCCCCTCTCGTGCTCTCTGTCTCCCATTCTCTCTCTCAGATAAATAAATAAAAAATCTTAAAAAAAAAGCTCATCCTCCAGCATTGTTCATAAAGCATACTCTATGAGGAAGGTAAAACTAGAGCTAATATAGTTCATCTCTCTTGTTACACATGAGTAAACTGAGGCATAGAGAGAAATCAAGTAACTTGCCCAAGTGATCTAAGTGATAGAGCCAGGATTTAAGTCCAGTGTAGCAGCCTAACTCAGATCCTGAAATCTCAACCACTCTGCCTTTAAAAGGTCAGAGGCAGCTGAGATGGGAAGGAGAGTGGTCCAGGGATGAATGGGGGGGGGCGGAGCTTGGGTGACTACCTCCAGGTGTGCTTTGCCTACTGGAACATGGTGTTGCCTTCAAATTGGTTTTTGCTATTTTATATTGTTACACTTTTTTCTTGATGGTTGTAGTGTTTCTCATTTGAGCTGCCATTGTTATTAATTCACAGAAAAAAGTCCAGAATGTTGACCTAATTTTACAAAACAAGTTGTGTATCAGCTGATGAATGCATGAAAAGTTTTGGAGGCTTTCACAGTAGTTTTAAGGTAAGTTCAGTTTGTTTGTTTTTTAAAGACAGTACTCAGTATTGTTCCTCCTAAAGCATAATAGATTAGATTTTTATACAAGCAGTTGAACTTAACCTTAAAAACACTGTGAGAGTCTTAAACAGTCACTTGCTTCCTGGATTTTTCTCTTATCCCAAAGCCCAGAGCTGGTCAGAAGTTCCTAAATGTGTTTCCCAGGTGGTCTTCAGTAAAGGTCTACCATGATGCATTATGAAGTGTTCTCATTCCATTTTGAAGATGATAAACCATTTAATTAGAGTTAAGTGACATTGCCCTAGATTACTTAAGGATCCAAACTGGCATTATGATCCCAAAGTCTAGACTTTCTGTGCCACATCACACTGCTTACCACGAGGAGAAAGGAAGGTTGGTATGGTGGAATGCTTCTCTTGTGAGGCAAGCAGCAGAGTTACTGACTATAAGTGTTATGCAGTAGTACTCTTGAATTTCTGTATCAGAGAGAACATTATGCCTAATAATCTTAGTGTATCTAATACCAATTTTCTAAAAGGCATTTTAGAATTTCTAGTGTATTAAGTATTCCCCCCTCCCTCCATGTATTAAGTATTTACATTAAATAAATTAAACCTGTTTTCCACTGGTATTGCCTATATCTAAGGTGTAATAAGTCATGGCACTGAGAAAGTGAACAGAAATGAAAGCACCACAGCCATCATCAACAATAGATTTTTTCAATCCAACTCCCAGTTTACCTCTGGTCACTTGATATGGTTGATACAATGTAGGAGAATGTTTTTAAATCAGATTATGTAATGGGTCTGTAATGTTAGCTATAGAAGCCTTCAGAGATCATCTGGTCTAGCCACCTAGAAGACCCTTAGCAATTGGTCTAAGGTCATGTAGCTGCATTGTGACAGCAAGAATAAGAGCCACCTTTTTCTTCATGACAGTCTAACTCGTATATCTATTGTTCTTCATGAATTGGGGCTGTTGTATTCATAGGATGCTGGACATTGCTTTTAGTGTCAGAGATTCATTATCTTAAGGAATAGTAGGAACATTTTGGGATTGGAGAAGAGAAAAAAGTTTTACTTACTACAGCTGATTTGTTGATTGTTTTTAATAAGGCCATTGAAAACTTGGAAGATTATTATTTTTAAACTTCTGAAGAAAACTGATATTGGGAAGTTTATTGGGGCTTTTTTATGAAAGTAGAAAAACAAAAGTAAGAACTGATTTTTGGTGGTGTAGTATATAGAGAATAAATAAAGGATTTTTACTTTTGAAGTTTGTTTTGATCGTGGACTAGTTTAAAATGTGGCCTCAAAGGAATTTTAGTATATGCATAAAAAATAAAATATACAGCACTAATTGTTAATGAACAGTAGAAGAATATGAATCCTAGCTTTTAGGTATCAACTTGAAGAAAAAAGTCTAGTGATGCCTGGGTGGCTCAGTCAGTTAAGCATCTGCCTTCGGCTTAGGTCATGATCCCGGGGTCCTGGGATCGAGCCCCACATCACGCTCCTTGCTCCGTGGGGAGCCTGCTTCTCCCTCTCCCTCTGCCTGCTGTTCGCCCCTGCTTGTGCTCCCTCTCTCTGACAAATAAATAAAATCTTAAAAAAAAAAGTCTAAGAGGTCTTAGCTGCAGCAACTTCTTCCTAGAAACATCACCAAAGGCAAAGGAAGCAAGGGCAAAAATGAACTGTTGGGACTTCATCAAGATAAAAAGCTTCTGCACAGCAAAAGAAACAGTTAACAAAACCAAAAGACAACCGACAGAATGGGAGAAGATATTTGCAAATGACATATCAGATAAAGGGCTAGTATCAAAAATCTATAAAGAACTTATTAAACTCAACACCCAAAGAACAAATGATCCAATCAAGAAATGGGCAGAAGACATGAGCAGACATTTTTCCAAAGAAGACATCCAAATGGCCAACAGACACATGAAAAAGTGCTCAACATCACTCGGCATCCGGGAAATCCAAATCAAAACCTCAGTGAGATACCACCTCACACCAGTCAGAATGGCTAAAATTAACAAGTCAGGAAACGACAGATGTAGGTGGGGATGCCAACATCCTACAGTGTTGGTGGGAATGCAAGCTGGTGCAGCCACTCTGGAAAAACAGTATGGAGGTTCCTCAAAAAGTTGAAAATAGAGCTATCATACAATCCAGCAATTGCACTACTGGGTATTTAACCCAAAGATAGAAATGTTAGGATTCAAAGGGGTACATGCACCCTGATGTTTATAGCAGCAATGTCCACAATAGCCAAACTGTGGAAAGAGCCAAGATGTCCATCGACAGATGAATGCATAAAGATGTGGTATATATACACAATGGAATATTACGCAGCCATCAAAAGGAATGAAATCTTGCCATTTGCAACGACGTGGATGGAACTGGAGGGTATTATGCTGAGCGAAGTAAGTCAATCAGAGAAAGACCTGTATCGTATGACCTCACTGATAGGAGGAAAACAAACAGGGTTGCTGGAGTGGTTCGGGGTGGGAGGGATGGGGTGGCTGGGTAATGGACATTGGGGAGGGTATGTGCTATGGTGAGCACTGTGAATTGTGAAAGACTGTTGAATCACAGATCTGTACCTCTGAAACAATACATTGTATGTTAAAAAGAAAAAAAGAAGATAGCAGGAGGGGAAGAATGAAGGGGGGGAAATCGGAGGGGGAGAGGAACCATGAGAGACTATGGACTCTGAGAAACAAACTGAGGGTTCTAGAGGGGAGGGGGGTGGGGGGATGGGTTAGCCTGGTGATGGGTATTAAAGAGGGCACGTTCTACATGGAGCATTGGGTGTTACACGCAAACAATGAATCATGGAAGACTACATCAAAAACTAATGATGTAATGTATGGTGATTAACATAACATAATAATAAAAAAAAAGTCTAAATTTTATATATGTATGTATGTAGGCTTCAAGCTGGGCTTGAACTCACAGCTCACAACCCTGAGATCAAGAGTCAGATGCTTAACCAACTGAGCCACCCAGGTGCCCCAGAAGTCTAAATTTTAAAACAAAGAAAAGTGCCCCTGTAAAGAATGCACATAATTTCTTCCTAATCTGGGATTAGTAATATACTGTAAAATCTGAAAATATATCGTAGTTTTGGTACTGTCTAATGAGTCTCAGAGCCCTCTCCCAAGTTTCACGATCAGACATTTATGGCTTAGAAGGAGTGAGGCATTGTAGCAGTGCCCTGTCCTCTGAAGAGCATCTAAAAGGGGTGTAAAATGTGGCATCCTTGGAAAGGTACTTGCCAACTCCTCATGACTCACCTGGAGGGTCAGTTGCCTTGCTTTTGCCCAGCTGGCCTGCTTTAGACCACTGTTGGCAAGTAAGGCATGGGATTTGCCTCCTGAAATTTGATTTCTCTGGTCTTAATATCCAGAAGCTTCAAGTAGTTTTTGCCTTAGATCACTAAGAAGCCTAGCTACAACCTATTAGAGAATGGGGAGGGGTACACTGTTGGATGTGAAGAGGTTAAATTTGTGCTTTGAGCAGCTCAGCTATTGGCGGTTTTATCTAAAATTGCCTGTAATGTATTTTTAGGTATGGGTGAGAGTAACTGTGCTTGGAATAGAAAAGCCCTGCTGCACCGAGACACGATGCTAGCGGCCGCGGCGGTGTACAGAGGTAAGCGAGCTGGCTGTCTTTTCCACCCACGCCTCACTGAGGAATATGCGCCCTACCGTGTTTATCCCTTAACGTTGCCAGTACTTTTTCCTTTCCTGTTAAGGCATCATCAGATTTTTGTCCTTCCTTTCAGAACACAGATCCTGTAGTTCTGTATCCTTTTTCCAAACAGCCCTTAACTATATTTCTGTCAGCTTCTCAGCATTGAGGATTTTTCATGTGAGGCATTCTCAAAGTCCTCCGAATATCCCAATACCCATTTCTCTTTGGAGGACATGACTTTTATTGAGCAGATGTTTTTCTTCCTACTTCCATTTTTTTCAGATTGTAACCATTATTTGTCTTTATAGAAATGTACAGAAATGAGGATGGTTCAGTACCTGCCACATATCAGATCTATTACATGATAGGATGGAAATACCATGATTCACAGGTAATATTATTAAGACAAATCATTTTTCCTAGTGGGTTCATGTTTTCATTTACTTTTTATTTACATAGGGTGGGGTTTTTTAAAAAAAATACATGATGGCGTTAAGGGATTTCATGTAGAGCTGTATATTTATCTATTTCTAATATCTTTAATCTTTCATTATTTTCAGGCAAGACCAGCTGAAAGAGGTTCAGCAACTGTGTCATTTGGAGAGCTGGGAAAAATAAACAATCTTATGTCAAAGGGAAAAAAGTCACAATAAATACTTTATTCAATGTTAATGTAGTCCAGAATTTTCATCAGAGATGGATAACTTTCACATCTAAAATTATTACATTTTGAAGCAAGAAGCAATCTATAAGCAATGTACTATCAGATTGTAGTAATTAGAATAACCTAATCCTACATCTACATTTAGTAACCCTTTCGGTTTTATGTAGTTTCTGTTTTCATATGGATACTGTTATCTGGTGATTCGAATGTCTTATTTACAGATTCAGCCCCAAAGCAGGAAGATATTTCAGTGAAAAATCCACAAATATGTTCACATTTATAAATGCCTGACTTGATGGAAAAACATTGCCCACGCTGACATTTTGTACCTTTTTCTCCTTCTGATCTTTTACTGCCGTGAGAGGGTGAAAACAATGGAGATGAGAGGAAGGACAAGTTGGTAGATTCTCTAGAGTTCCGGATCATTTGGAATAAAAACAGTTCTTATAATGATTAGTCTAAGATACTCAAGCTAAAATTATGTCGCACTGTCATTTTTGTTGTGAAGACAGTATAGGCTTGTCTCTCCAGAGCTATTACATAGTTTTATACTTTAGAAAAGTGTGGATCTTG